AAGAGGATGCTCTAGAGAGTGTGTTTATTACAATATATATGTAGAAAATTGAGTGGTGGGGCATTGATTGATTACTCTTTCTCAATTATATTAAAAAGACCTCGGGATCTGTAAATAGGTACTAGCTTAGCTACGAGAAAAGACCATGTGATCAGTAGAATGCTTCGCGCACAGTCAGTCCGCGGATATGTGAAGATATTTTGGGAAGTCGTGCTGTGGAGATTTGGGGAGAGGGTTTCTTGAGAATTGTGCTGGGATTGGAGTGGGTGATTGGTTGATTGATGGTGATCTATTTGATGGTAGTTTGATGGGTAAGAAAGAGATTTTATATTCTTTGAACGAGGTTTTTTGTAAGATTACTTGCGTAGGTGGGTGTTAGAGCTAGCTAGCTGTATATTTTAGATAAATCACGGATACGGTTAATTTTGTAAGTCTTACATAGTATATAAATCAAAGAATTGACACAATAAAGTTCGCGCAACTACAACTTCCTACAGTCTATCTGAAATAAGCAAATATATAAGTCAATGATATAATACTAAACGATATTATGAGGGAATGTTCCATAACTTAATGTAAGCTTATAAATGACGCGCTGAATGTAAATAACGTCTGGTTATTCGTCTCCCTAATGTCACTCTAGGAGAGATTAGAAAATTGGATATGTTTTTATTTTATTCGCTTAGCTCATTACTTGCGATGGCTTTCTACTATCTTTCTAGCTTGGCTTTTCCAAGGTAGCTGGATGTACTTGAAGATGGATAGGATTCTCGAGGTTACTATCGATATGGAATTTCCGATTAAATCCTTGAGATGTGGTGAGAATGATTGTTTATTTCTGAATATCTGGTATTGCTTTGAGAAGAAAAAAACATGGGTTTATATTATTTTTATATAAACTTTTCGTTTCATTTTATGTCTTCTCTTCTCATCTGAGATCTACCTCATACTCCGATCGAACAAATTGCTTCTACAATCTACAATCCATCGGGTTCTTGCGATATTTCCTATTCGAAACATTTGCTGTGTGATACTTCTTCTTCTTTTGTCCTTCTAAAGGGAAGGAAATGAATGCATCGACTCCGACTATTAAAGAAGTTCTCTCGCAAGTTATATATTCTTATTTGTTCATTTAATTAATTGAAAATCTACTTCATATTTTGTGTTATACAGCTTCCAAGCGAAGAGCACTACGAAGGGCTACGCGAGATGTGAAGTGAAGTGTGACTATCTCTCTATTTTCAGAAGAAAAGGCGAGGAGAATTTCGGAAGCGAAGAGGGATGTTAACTGGTTCATTTCCACGACTTTTATTGTGACAGATCTCTCGTTGTTTGATTAAGCAACCACTGGATATTTTTATCAGGATGTTGATAAAGTCTTGTGAATCATAATATAGTATCGATACCTATATTCCGATAAAAGCATATTCATACATACATACATACTCAGCGAAGCGAAATGAAGATTCGAACCTTGAGTTCCAAGATGCGTTTTGGTTTCAATAACTACCATCATACTGCATCAGCAGATCAGATATCCGGAGATTCTTGAAGAGGGTCTACTGTACTAGGTACTGAATCTCTAAAGAGGAAGAGGCGTACTGAGAACTTGATAATATCTTTATTGTCACATTTGGATATTTATATGCTTATTCACTTCCACAACTCTATCATTACCACCTAATCTCACTTAAAGAATTTCAAGACACCTCATCTCAAGGTAGTGAATCTTGGCCTTTCAATCATATCACCAGAAGATTTTTTTCTTCAAGCTTAAGATAAAGCTATATAAACGACCGCCTCTATAGTCTGCCTTTTACACATTCCTCAACTTCCACCAGCAAAGATTCCCACCAACTTTAGGCGGAAAGAATTGATTTCGATCGTTGACGTAATGGGACAAAGATAATGAATCATCGGATAATTCAGATATAACTTCAATGCGAATCCAAAGTTTCAGAATTTTCTTTTTGTTTTTGTTTTTGTCCATATTCTTATTTTACCAATATCGAGATATATAACCGCTATTGTCATCAAGTTATAACAAGATAATTCTATCATCATGCAAAATAATTAATTCTTCAAAAGTAAATAGTATATCAAGAACGACCCTAACCATAAACATTCCATCTCGATACCCATTTCACTCCAAAGAGCAGCCCTCGAAGCTATACCCATTTGTGGTATTTCAATCTTCAACATACAAAGCTTGAAGTATATGTAAAGAGCGGAGATTTTTATGTCTAGTATTTGATTATAGAATGTAGAATTATGTGCAGAGTAGTATTCTATCTACCATTTTGCGATTGATTCTCATGGTTCTTGGATGTTTTGAGTCGATGGAATTATATATGACTTTTTACGTATTGCTTCTTGTTTCGAAAGGAAGAGTGGAGGATATGTATAAATATGCATCCATCATCCTCTCTCTTAACCTTTCTACATTCCAAATTATCAAAAGTTCTCAAGTAGCAGCTTAGGGCACTGCAAACCTAAGATATGCAAGAATGGAAATCGAAAGATATGACTAGAAGGATAGGGATATAGAATGATGAGTAATGGGATGTAGATATCGAGCCATCTTTTATCATTTTTCATTGCTGTTGAATTCAACCTCGATATTGTCGTATATAGTTTGAACTTTCACTATCCATATATCACACCACCATCGACATACTATATAATCTCTCACTACCCGATCATACAGTCAGTTCCAAGATTTTGAAACACGGATCATGTCTACTCCTAGAAATAATGTTGACCAAAAATCCATGATCTCGTCGTAGACTGGGCAACAGATGTTGAACCCGAACTTGCTCAAACTTCGAAGTATTTATAGCCGTATCTAGTACCGAATCTTCTTCATCTTTACCAAAGGGAGTGAATACCTTCTTTCCTCACTTACTCAATCACACACTCCGGTGCCCCGAGAATGCATCATCTACTCCACTCTATCCAAGCTCGACATGAATCACTGAGACCTCCAAGGTTATCTTCAAGCAACACGACCTTTCTCTCCTCTCCTACAGAAGCCTATCGAAATGTATAAACAACACTCCCCTCTTCACACCTTCTCTCCACGATCCCTCCGCGTATTGCAATCCCCTCCTCTTACTCGTATATCAACATCTAAGGGTGATGTTCTCAGAAAAACCAGGCAGAATATAGTTGCAAAAATCAAATCGTGTATGTATTTAGTAGTAGACTGTTACCGTCATTCACTTTCTCATTGCCATTGACTTCTCATGATCGTGATTATTATCATAACCCCTTTATCATCATTCCATTCCATCACCACCCCTCACGAAAACACCATCGTCTAGGAAGTGCATCCCCAAACCTAACGAATTTCTCTTCCAAACTCTCAAGAAAGTTCAGGGTATACCGACAAAGTGTAGAAACTCATTGCAATAATTCAAACAGCTATTAACATTCCAGGACTATGCACTCAAAATTTGAGGCGCGTAGAAAGCTTTGATTCGATATTCTTGAAACCCAGACGTTTTTATATCCTAATAGTAGGTATTGGGTATTAGGTATACGGTATACATACAGTATTCATACCCTATTCATACGATTTACCACTTCAAACCTCTTTACTTTATAGAACAACCATGGAAATAAATAACAGTTTACCTGCAATATATATAAGAACAACTCTCCATGCCCCTTTATACTCTCCCCTCTATACTCTTCCCTTTATATTCTTCTCTTTATATTCTCCCCTCTATACTCTTTCCCCTATACTCTCCCCTCCAGCTCAAATAACACATTACTATCATCACACCAACTAACCTGTCTTTCAGCCACATCTTCCCATACTCTCTCACAGCTCTACCATTCCATTCCACCTTTCCAAATTCCACATCTCCAATCCATCCCCATCCCATCCCAATTCCACCAGTCTCCACTTCACTCTTCCCCATCTCCTTCTTCCCATATACCCTATAATTCCCACCAAATATGAGCTTTGAGCTGGAAATATCATACAAACCTTAAGCTATTCATTGATATTACAATACATATATCACTTACACACACCATAGCGCTCCATCAGGAAAAAAGAAACCGACAAACACAATCTTACAAAGGGAAGCGAAACGAATGCGAAGAATCACGAGGTATCTTTCTGATATTTCTCTCTTAGGGATAAGAATATAGATCAGGATAATAGAGTAGAGAGTAGAGAGTAGAGAATAGAGAATAGAGAATAGAGAATAGAGAATAGAGAATAGAGAATAGAGAATAGAGAATAGAGAATAGAGAATAGAGAATAGAGAAAACAAGTTTGATACTCTCAGATGACTCGCCGAGTTTAAATCTGATTGTTATTAGATAGATACTAGTGGTGCCAGTTATCATTGTTCATCCCTTTTCTCACGAAGATATCTTCAAGTAGCGTTACTGTTATCATTATTATCATTAAAGATAATCATTTTCGCCATAAATCATCACCATCACTACTCCCTCACATCCCCCTCAAATTCCCACCTTGCACCATACAATTCCCTTTCTTCCAACTTCCAACCTCCAACTTCCCCCGCCCCACGAGAAAACGAAAACCTGGCCATGAAATAAATTCATAGTGTCAATCAAGTTATAATTTGATCGTACATACGGCTCTCTTCATGCGATTAGTAAAGAGGGAGGGAGAACAAGGTTACGGTATTGAGAACTATTGTGGATTTGTACCAATACACCATGGACTTGTAGGCATCTGGAAAATTGTGATTATAGAAGGAGCATGGTGTTCTCGCTTGAAGACGGAGCAATGACGAAGAAAGCTCAATGAAAAAGGATAGAGAATGGTATCAGCACAATGATGTTTAGAAGATAATGGTTCATTGTCGAAACCCAACTTGGTATATTTTGCATTCGCATTCTTCCAGTCCAATTCTATAACAATACATAAATACCATCCTCGAAAATAGTTCCATAACCATTATCTCATTAACCACATTCCCCTCTAGATCACACCAAACACCCTTTTACTTTGTTCCCTATTCTGAAGCCTTCTTCTTCTCCTTCAAAGCGGGTAATCCGAAAACCTTACTCACACCCCCCTTAACCTTTTTCCATCTCAAAAACTCTATCTGAGGCGTCCAAGTAAGTGCTCCAACCCATGGCTGCACGTTATAATGAACCTTCAACACAACTCCTTCTGTTGATGCGAGTTTTCCACCCGGTTGCGTGATTTGGTATTTCGCTTTCTGATTCTTGAGTTTCAATACGCCTCTGTAAGGGGTGATTGTCAGTACATCCCTTCTATTGTATGTATTTCAGGAGAGGAAAAGCCCCAACAAAGATAAATAAAAATGGAAAAACCAACCTGGAAGGATCAATACTCTTTCCCTTGCTACTCTTGACCAATTTCTTCATCGCAGCCGGCCCGATATTCTGCAAATGATCCGCGCTCGGATTCGTGATAATCGTATCCCAGATAACCGCTTCGTTATTTAGAACTTGAGGTTCCGAAGAATTGGAAGGCCATGATGCAGAAACGTAGACGAAAACTTGTTTAGTGTTCCAGTTGAAGAGAGAGGAGAAATCTGCGTTGAGGGAGAATCGGATGTGTGCGTATTCTTCTTTCTTCGTGGAATAGTAATGTGGACGTCCTTTTACACTGGGGAGGGTTGGTTGGTTTGGATAGAAGGAGACGGGGAGGGAGGAACGTACACTTGGATATCTTTCACTTCTACTTTGGCACTCGGGGTACGGGGCGAAATGATATCTGTACATGCGATCAAAGCCGCGACAACAAATGCCACTGTCGTGAAGAATCCAAAGACATTTTGGATGCGCACTACTGAGGAATGCATGCTTGCTTGAATCGTCTTGCGTCCAATTGGAAGGTATGGTATATGCGATCGAATTCCTTTCCTACATGCGCCGTCGATGTATGGGTCCTGATAGTAGTGCAGTAGTCGAGGTTCCGTTGAATGTGGACGGAATCGTTAGATAGAGATATTATCGCAATCTGGACTTTCGGGTTTAACACGTCTCAATCTGAAAGCTTCATGATTGAGCTAAATTAGTGGATTGTGGGGTAAGATGTGGCTGAAGCTTACAACAAGATGTGGCGGTGTATTGATATGACAATGTAGAGAAATTGTATTTATTGTATCCATGGATGTATTGTGTGCTCCCCATTGCAGATGCATCAAGAGAGAGGCTTTGTGCGTAGAATCTTTCTACATGTAAGATTCCCTCTTGTAATAAATCAAGGGGGAAATATGGAAAAGAAATTCAAATTTGGTATCGCCAACCCAACGCAGCTTTTATATAGCTTTCAAAAGACAAACTGGTATCCCAAGTAGTTGTTCGTGAACTCCCCAAGTCTCTCCCCCGATTCTCTCAGTACATAGCGGAGTTTCTACCGTCTATCATCTCCATCATTATACACCCAATATTATCTTCATCCATATGTCCCCAAACACCCAATCAGTACAACCTCTCCCGGTCTCGAACTCCCAATCGATTTATGGACTCGCCTCATGAACTGCAAAACAAGCTGAACTCAGACAATGACCCCCCATTAATTCGTAGGTTCAACGATCGTACCGTAACCACCTCCTTGCACCCTGTCCGAATAAATTCCTGGAGCTCTCGCCGCCTGGAACCTCCCTTCTCTGCCTGCTTCTCGTCGTTCATAGTACACGTACTCAATGTAGAATGCGTGGATGTGTCCGGGTATGTATCTTTTGAGTGTTACTTTTGAATTCGGGTGAAGAGGAAGAGAAATGTACCCAAGGAGTGTTAAACATATGTTTATCAGGAGATCCGGTCCACATCCTGATACTAGGAAGACACCAACTGGAGGTATGAAGATGGTGACTAGTATCAAGAGAACTTTGGTGAATCGTCAGCGCTTGTTCATCAAAGTTGGTAAAAAAGAAAACATATAAGATCAACTCACTCATCGAAACAGCACCCATATTTGCGAATTTGTGTTATAAAAAATCTTTCCTCTATTTGATTAAATTGTGAATAACTTCAAAAATGTAATTGTTCAAAAATATGTCAGAGTTATGATTGCTTTTCTGGTGGAGAAAAGGTCTTGGTGGAGGGGGTAAACGTTCACGTTTTAAAATGCGGAACTTGGATATAGATCTTGGAATTGCCTCACTCGCTTAGTGTCAGTGACGTATGCCAGGTAGTCCTTGAACGACGAATATCAGGATTCAGGTACAGAAATAAATGATTTCTTTTTATGGTAATTTTATATTTCCCCCTGTTTTTAAATTCATTCGAGGGAAATTTCTGGATGGGACACTCTGGTTTGCCTGATTTACCTTGATTTTCTTGATGGCATCTCCTTCGAGTTGATACACAATGCGTTGGCGATAATATCAGATGGTCACGTCGATCAAATTATTATAACGTCAAATCTGAGCCACATCAACATATCAAGTACAGATTCTATACAAGATGAATCAGATTTCATTGGTTATGATCTTCATAAGATACGTTGTTCCTTTAGCCAACAGGACAGGCAAGCCACTTATGTACTGCCTGCGCCACCAAATGCATGGGAACGTGTGGGCCAGCGAAGAAAGGAAGAACATTCGATGCAGGGGCATTGTCATCGCACGTGCTCAAAATCATTCCTGTTGGTGTAATTTGTTCTCCACGACTGATGAAGAATGAGAACCTGGACTGTCTAAGAATTGGTCAATAATTGAGGTGTGTGGCCACCTTCGATTTAGCCGGGTCAGCAACTGAGCAGCTTGGAATACACATGAACTCTCAGTGGCGGAGACTTCCTAATTTAGTAAAAGATTGGATGAAGTTTCCCATTCGCACGATCCAAAAGTCGGATGGGCAATAACTCCTCATATCTACATGACATTAGTCAATACCACGAACATTAGAGGAAGAGGTACTCACACGTGCTTCAGCCATTCACAAACTATTTGCCTTGTAACAGCAGGATCTATAATCTCTTCCACTCCAAACGCATTGGCTGTCCTGACTGGATTCATCAATCGAGTATATTCTTCTTCCAACTCTTTATATCTTTCCTCTCGTTTTCCGTTTGCTTCTGCTGCTTTCAACTCTGCAGCATGTCCAACCTCAATACCTCCGTCTAATGGAAGACTCCCCCATTCTCCACTTGGCCACGCTACTCGGAAACGAGGATCTCTGCAATCAAGCATGATTCCACCAGCTACCCCATACGCTTTCCTCGTCACAACACTAAAGACTGGAGTTGTTGTAGAATAATATGTTGTCCCAAGTGCTACACCATGCCTCATCGTCGCTGCACGTTCTGCAACGGTTCCAATTGCATACCCTGGAATATCGACGAATTGGAGTATGGGGATATTGAAAATATCGCAGAATTTGAGATGCCGAGTGATCTTTTGACTTCCAGCAGCATCAAGTGCTCCAGCGTTTATCTCACAATTGATAGATATGATTCCAACGGGTCTACCAGAAAGTCTGGCAAGACCAACAATTGCAGTAGTTCCCCAAAGTGCTCCAATTTCGAACCAACTTTCTGCATCTACTACAGTCTTTATGATCTTTCTAGGATCATACATTCTCGCTTTTCGGCGTGGAATGATCGTTCTTAAATTTTCGCAACGTCGATCAGCTGGGTCTTCAGTGTTTAGAACTGGAGGTAGAGAGGCACCAGAGTTTGGTAAGTAGCTCAAAACCGTCCTCAATTGTTCAAAACATTCTTGTTCATTTTCTGCCATATTATCAATGGTACCATTGGTACAGTGCATACTTGGGCCACCAAGATCTGTAAAAGTGAGTCCTTCCTCAAAGGTTGCACCTACTCATGGTTAGCATTTCCCTCGCGCCAATACAATGAACTCACCAGCGACAACTTTTGGTCCAGCATTAAACAACGCTCCAACATCCGCAGCCATCACAGAGAAGTGACATGAAACAACTCTCGCAGCTCCAAGCCCAATAGCCGGTCCTAACACCGCTCCTAGATTGGGAATCCCCATATTCAACTGTTCGACCACATGATTAAAAGATGGCATGGGCGGTATATAAGAAAACCCCTCTTTCCTTATAGTTGTCACAGACCCTCCTCCCGAAGAGCCATCCACCAATTTGATAATAGGTAATCTCAACGCAACAGCCAATTTTTCCATATAAATTGTTTTTTCCGTCAATGCACCATCTGCATGTCCAGCACGAATACTAAAGTCATCTGCTGTAAATAATATTTTTCTTCCTCTCAATAAGCCAAATCCTTGTACATTATTACTTGGTATATAAGAAATTGGCTCTTCTCTCTTCCCTTTACTTTCCGACGGGTCTAGTTTTTTCCATGAAACGGTCCCAGAAATAGAGCCTACTTCGCGAAAACTATCTGTGTCGAGTAACTGAAGAACTCGTTCTCGGACCCAGAGTTTACCAGCTTGCTTTTGTCGGATGTATCCTTTGTTTGAGAGATCAGGTGTTTGGGCTATTTTTTGCAGAGAGGATATCGTCCCGAGAATATCTGAATAGTCGGCTGGGAGATCTTTTTTTGTTTTGGGCCCTAGACGTTTACTGGATGTATTAGAGATATGACCGGCCACTTGAGAAATTCGATCTGACGCGATTTTTGAAGAGTTTTCCTCTTTCTTATCGTTTTTCATGATGATGAAGTGATATTTTGTCTTCAGGTTTCATTCTTTGATACCAATTTGTATAAGTAGAAGTAAACATTCGAGAGCTTGTTGATGAAGATCTAATGATCTACATGATTTGGACCTCGGCTTACTCCCCGCCCCGTGTTTTGTGGGGAAGCTTAACCACACCTTGGAGCTCGGCCATATCTCGAACATTGATGAGGCTTCAATGCTTTTAATTATACAATTCGTTTTTCTTACATTTTCGGTCAGAGAGAATAGAGCTCGGTATAATTCCAGATTCCTGAAAAGAGCTTAGAAATATGTCCCAACAACCCTTTCGCCCTATCAAGCGTCTTCTCATAGCAAACAGGTAGGTAGTCACCAGCTCCCTTTGATCTCCTCAAGCTAACTCCTAAAAGAGGAGAAATCGCAACGCGTATTCTATCCACAGCACGCGAATTAAGTATAGAAACCTACACCCTTTACACCACCAACGACTCATCACACACTGTCAACTCAACCCATTCCATTCAACTTCCATCTCCATCTTCGTATCTAGATATCTCAACTCTAATATCTATTGTTCAAAAATACAATATCGATACTATTCATCCAGGCTATGGATTTCTATCCGAAGCTGCTGAGTTTGCAGAAAGAATGTGGAGGGAAGCTAACGCGGTTGTTATCGGACCTGGATTCCAAATTTTAGAAAGAACAGGTGATAAACTGATGGCGAGAAACCTTGCACAGGAATGTCACGTTCCTATTCTCCCGGCCCTCAAAGTCCCAACAGATGATGTGACTCAACTCCAGAGATTTGCATCAGAGGTCGGCTATCCTATTATCATCAAAGCGGTAGATGGAGGTGGAGGTCGTGGTATTAGGATTGTGACAAAAGAAGACGAGCTAGAAGGAATGTCAAAAGCAGCATTGAGAGAAAGTCCTAGCAAGAAAGTCTTTGCGGAGAAAGCTGCCGTGGATGGTTATAGACATGTAGAAGTACAAATTATTGGTGACGGTAAAGGAGGGGTAAGACATCTTTGGGAGCGGGAATGTAGTATCCAGAGGCGATTTCAAAAAGTGGTCGAGTTTGCTCCTTGTTCGATTGTGGATAGGAGAGTTGTCGAGAAGGTTATTGAAAGTGCGTTGAGTATGGCCAGGAAGGTTAATTATTACTCGCTTGGAACTTTCGAATTTCTCGTTGGCCAACCACAACCCGAATTCTATTTCCTGGAAATCAATCCACGTTTGCAAGTCGAACATACCATCACCGAATCTCTGGCCTCCGGTATCGATCTCGTCAAAATCCAACTTCTCCTCGCTCAAGGACATCCTCTCTCATCACTACTCCTACAATCTCTCCCTTCATCCCCATTGACACCGCCTCAAATTCACTCCCTGCAACTCCGCATCACAGCTGAATCCCCATCTCAAAATTTCTCGCTCAGTCCCGGGAAGATCTCATCTTTCTATTTTCCCTCAGGCAATGGCGTTCGAGTAGATACTCATCTGCATCCTTCAACATATGCAATCATCGGCACAGATTTTGATAGTCTATTGGCAAAGCTCATTATCAACGCACCTACCTGGCAAGATATCGTCGCGAAAGCTAAGCGAGCATTAGATGATACATATATCACTGGCATTGAAACTAACTTAGATTTGTTAAGAGCCATTATTGACAGTGATTCATTCAAGAAGCAAAAGTGCGATACAAGATGGTTGGAGATGAATTTACCGGTGTTACTCAGATCCGCCAAGAAGATAAGCGAGGGCTTGAAGAATTCGGCAGTACCGGTATCAACGAGCTCATTACCGACTTTACCATCTTCATCGAGTGTGGTTTTCCGTCCGAGAGATGCGTGGAATATTGAACTTAGTCCTGATGATTCCTCCATTACGAATACAAAATCCGGGAACTCGGCGCCGATACCATACCATATGCAGATAACCCGCATCCTCAGCAACAACTTTCCTTCCTCTCTCAAAGCCAACATCCTATTCACTTCTCCATCGTCTACTAACACAAAACCGACTCCCTACAAACTCTCCGTCACCTCATCCTCCTCTACTCCCACCTCCGAACAATCTTCCCATCGTCTCGGCAACCCTAAGAATCCAAACCACATAACAACACCCTTCCCGGGAAAACTTATCGAAATCTCTGTCGAGAAAGGAGATCAGATAGTAGCCGGTCAGACAATTTGTGTGATCAGACAGATGAAAATGGAAGTTGAGGTTAGGAGTCAGAGCAATGGGGTTGCGAAGTGGGTTTTTGGGAATGGAGAGGAAGATCAGTGGGAGGAGGGAGAGGAAGGGGAGGATGTGGGGGTGGGGGTACTGGTTTGTGAGTTAGACGAGGAAGTTGAGAAGGGGAGAGAGAGTAAATTATAGATCATATAACGGATACCACATATCTATTTAGTTACTCATCATGCTAGCCTTAGTCCAAGACTAGCTTAAACTAAGCGATCTGTTATCAGATGAGAGATGAAGATATTTCTTAAGGATTCTCTTGTTATTTATGAATGCAAATTCAACCAGGGGATTTTGATTTGTATATCTATCAATTATACATAATTGAAGGAGTTTGAAGATTCAAGATGCGTCAAACGTTTTGGATCAGTTGCTATTTGATTTGACAGTATTCAATATGATGTAATCATTATTGACCCAAAAATACCCGGCCTTGGTTCCCAAAAAGAAGCTTGACTTCCCAATATACTAAAAGCGACACTTTGGAAATTGAACACTGCTTTATGGTTGTATTGCTTGATAAGTCAATTAGAGTCTAAGTATCAATGTAAATCATAAATGTGCTTGAGGTAGTTCTGTGCAAAATACCTCAAGAATTAGCAAATTACAAAAATTTGGTTTTGGTGATGTGCGTTAGATGTTAATATATATCAAGATTATCAAAACAAAGGGTTAAAATAGAAGAATACAGAATTGCAGAGCAAAGAAACTATGTCTTCAACAAAACGAATTTGTCTGGGAAAAAGGTTGAGTTACAGTTCACATGTATCACACCATCACCCCTAGCAAGCCATATCGTAAAATCAGACTGATGCCCGTCTAAAATATGATGCTTGTGCAGCAGATACTATATATTGTGGAAAAAGTGGAGCCATCTGCTGGATTATAAAGTTCTTCTCCGGGAGTAGGGGTCTGGAAAAGCTGTCAAGCAGCGCAAATTCTGCTTATTTGGATGGGCGAAGATAATCAGTGCGCATATATACTAAAGAAGATTAGTTCTATCGATAGAATCTATCGCTCGTGGAATAGCACAGATAATTTTATCGAGCTGAATCACAAAGTATTGAGGAAAAGTATTCTACTATTCCCCAAATATATTTCTAATTTCTATAGAAGCGAGCAGTTGTAAAACCGAAAAAACCCTTGAAATTATAAGACTTGACGATTCGTCCCACACAAATGCGCATTGAAGTAGCAAAGATTGAGCGGTACACAACCTATCCTCTCCCAACTCAAAAGTAAACGCATCACTTCCCACAGCCGTGGATGTATAGAGCGTGAAAGACGGATCATACTTCTTCTTTATGGCCCTCAATCGATCATAATTTACTCCAAAGTAATCCTCCTTCCACAGAACATTATCATAAGTACCCTCATTAATCTATCCACCAGCATCAGGAGCCAAGTTCCTAAGCTGATCTTCCTAGTCATTCATCACCGCTTGGCGAGCTTTCAATTCAGTCCATGGCGCATCTTCGAGAACAGGAATAACAATGACCAAATTAGCTAGCGAATCTCTCCATCCCGGGCAAACAGAGTTAGACTCTGGAGTGTTGTCAACACGCAAATGTGTTACGTTCGAGTTGATCACGTTGAGAACTGCCGAATAGTTTTTGGCCATACTTCTCATGGTATCAACTAGTTCCGGAAGATTACGCTCATTATCCTCCACTTGCCAGCGCGGAATGAAGCAGCTTCCGGCGGTTGCATTCCTGGTGTAAACATCGGTTCCGAAATACTTGTAGTGCTCATAGAAGGTAGGGAATAATTTCGTGTCGTTGAACGTCAATGAAATGTTGAGGGCTTCGAGCTCGCTTAAGAAAGGTGCCCATGCGGCATTCATATCTTGAACTGTAGCTCCAGGCCAAGTGGCAAAATCCATTCTGAAAAGGTCTCTGGCGAAGGCCCCCACAGCCTTGAACCCAACTAAATTGTCCAGAACAAGCAAGTGTTTCATGTATGCTGTGATGGCTGCGTAGAAAGTATCGTAGTCGGTATTCTCAAAATCGAACTTTGCACCCACGACGGGGACATCGATATGGGCTTTCGTCGTGATAGAAATGACTACTGCATAGTTTCCGGGACCGCCCCCACTGAGAGCCCAGTAAAGATCAAGGTTCTGGGTAGGCGAAGCGATGAGACGTTTACCCTCTGTTGTAATAACTTCAAACTCAAGGGCGTTATCGGCACCGAGTCCATATGCACCAGTGAGAGGCCCATGGCCTCCTCCAGGTACCCATCCGCCAGCTACACCCACAGCAGGACACGAGCCTCCTACGACTTGATATCCATGTTCACTCGCTGCCTAGTACAACTCGGAAACCTGAACACCGGCCCCGACCTTGGCTGCTGGATCCGTGTAGTTGGCGCTGCTGTAGATCATAAATGTCATGTCTTTTAGGTTATGGGTCTACAATGCCAAGGGACCTTTACCGGCTGATCGGCCAAGATAATCGTGACCTGTGTTTTTGATTGAAAGACTAATGTTCTTTTTACGCGCGAGTTTGATTCCGGCGGTAACGTCTGAGACGCAAGATACATTTATGGCGATGAAGCTTGATTTCCAAGTGAACATGAGCCGTCGCCAGTCAAGAATGGACTCTGGGGGAACAGATAAGCAACCCACATCCCATTTGAAGTAAGCCCTCACCCCTAAACGACAGAGCTCATTGCTTAGCCCTTTGATTAGATAGGGGATATAGCAGGGTATATGTATATACGCTTTAGCTCTCTTTCAACCCTCAGAGACCAATTGAAATCCACACTATCAAGCCAACAATATTCTATCAAATGGCATGACACGACAGAGCAAATCTATCTTTATGTTGCTTATCATGCCTGCAAGTATCTTATTATTGAACCACTTCATTTGCTCATATTATTCCAACCCTCTCGATTTCCTTATCGTTTGTTTCTGATTATCAAGCACAACATTGATGTTGATTTGTAAGTTTGTAACTTTCATGATTGGAAATACAGATTGCAATGCAAGTAACCTTGGAAGACATACTTGTTGGTCCAACAGATCTTTCAGGACGAACAGATCCGTGTAGGTAGTTTTGCATTTAAAGATTACTGATCCATACTTTTTAAAGTTTTGTCTACTTCAATAATCTGCATTCAACAGTCTATACTTATACTTTCATCTATTTCAATTCTTGATTGATTGATTTATTGATTGATTTCTAACAAATTCATGATGGCTCCAACAATCGTTCTCATTAGTGGTGCAAACAGAGGTTTAGGTACAGTACTTTCTTGGTTCATCTATTATTCATTATCCTCGTTTCATTCATTCTCAACTTCAAATCTATAGGAAAAACAGGCGTAATTCTGACAATCCTCTCACCCAACAGGAAAAGGTCTTCTAGCCCAATACATCAGCAAATCTGATCACATTGTCATTGCTGCCAATCGGGACCCTTCGCATCCAACATCGAAAGCTCTCTCCAAGCTGCCTACTGGTGTTAATTCCAAACTTGGTGAGCTCAACTATTTTCCTTCTTTTCTTATTTCATGATTTCCGAGTATGATTACTCTTCTCCGCGACGGTAAGATTTCACCTTCGTATTTTACAAATTAAATCATAGATACCCGATTTTCTCACTCTATAACATTAAGATCTCACAAATCCCCTCCACTCTGTCCCAAGCCCCTCCCCCATATTCGCTAACCATCTCCATCCCCACATCCACTAATCCCCTTGTTTACCCCCAGTCGTCATCAAAACCGACGGTTCCTCCCCCACCTCTGCGCAAACTGCCATTGACACGCTCCCCTCCCTCGGAATAAACCATCTAGACCTCGTCATCGCCAACGCTGGCGTATCTTACGCGTGGCCCTCTGTTATCGATCTAAAAATTGAAGATCTGGAAGGCCATTTCATTCCAAATGTTTATGGAGCTGTAAGATTGTGTCAGGCGACTTTATTATTATTATTGAAGAGCAGGGATCCGAAATGGGTTACTATTGGGAGCACGGCGGGGATGATTACTGTAAGTATTCCTCAAGGAGTTTTAATTTTGATCTTTGATGGGATTTCTCTCTTCACACCCCATTCCTCAATTTTCTCCTCATCTCTAACCCATCCCTCCATTTTCCACTTTCGGCTTTTTTCTCCCCTTTCACCCGTCTCATCTTCCTACCCAGACCACATGAAACAACCACTAAGCTCTCACCTAGAACCAACTACCCATCCAAACGGCGCCCACGGCCCCTCCAAAGCCGCCATCCATTGGCTCACCAAACGCATGAACGTCGAGAACCCCCCTTTGAACGCCTTCGTTCTCGATCCCGGCTGGTGCCAAACCGAGCTCGGTAACGCTGGTGCTGTCTATTTTGGAATGGATCAAGCAGCTGTTTAGTCGAAGATTCATGTGCCCTGATGGTGCCGCTTATTAAGAATTGTACGAAGGAGAGTCACGGTGGAAAACTTGGGAGTTATGAGGGGGGTCAGTTGGAGTGGTAGACTGTTTGGGGGTTTGACATGTTGGTGGAAGATTAGATGGATGGCTAGGCTGCCTCAAAAGATGATTCAGTGTGATCTTGCGTGGATGTAAGAATAGGGGGATAGAAAGAATCTATATAACCTGATTAGGATATTAACGTCCCTTTAAAGATATAACTCATAATATATCTAGATATTACTACTATCCAATTAATTTATCTCTACTTTTCAATGCGAGTTTCATATTTCTATGTTTGGTCTGCTTTCCTAAATCTATTAGAATTACTTTTCTACTCGATTACTATCCCAATCTACACTAATATTCATCTTTTATACTTCTCTACTTTTCCTTTTTAGAATTCTACCCCTCTAAATCTCCCACAATTTTCTACTTTGCTACTCACAGATTTTCCTATCCTTCTATCCTCCTCTCTCATTCTCTTAACCCCTCTAATTCAACCTGTCGAGATTCAAATCAGGCTAACTCAGATCAAATTATCTTTATGTTTTAATAGAAATCTCGGTAACGACCTTGGATTGTACTATCATAGATATTATCTATATATATGACTGGACAAATATTCTATAATTTTATTCTTCAATTTATTCAATATATTTTCCCTACACCTGGAGTCAACTCACCTCTTTATCATCCTAAAATACTATTATCTAGCTTCCCAATCCCGACGAGTATCCTAGGTATCAGAATGATATTGTTTTACCTAGTCGTATCTTATACTTTACGTCCAAGTACGACGATTTGAACTGCTGAATCGCGTAATTTGAATGCTTTATTATACAACTCTGAATAATAAGTAGATTGCTTCAGCGCTTACACGCCTATTCTCTCACAACCTCAGAAAATGGCGTCTAGCCATCTTCTAAAAGCTGTTTCTTCTCATCCTCAATTCAGCCCCGCGGATTCAGCGTATAGTTTTTTTACCTATCATGTTTTCGCTTTATTCCTAGCCTAATGATCCGTGACCGAACATCATCAAAATTTCAATGTGTATACGCACTCACCAACGGGGATTTTATATATATAGTCTTTGGTTTAAGCGAGTTAATTCTTTCCTTAATATTGCACACTAGAATCCATAATCACATTCCAACATCGTTATAGAAGTTGAAGCTAGTTTCTGTTATCAGAATGAGCTTAATACTGCATTTGACCATCTACTTCCATCTTCTATATTTTAGGGTTGCAGATGGTACAGCCTCTTCATATAAGATTTAGTATACTAATCGCTACTAGTGCAACCAATGTTGATATGTCCGGTCTGAACTTTTAGCTCTCTCGGTTCACTCAGAATTCCTCAGTGCTAATTTGAAAAATATGTCAGCAATGCAATCATAGCAGAATAAACTTACGGCATACAGTTTGAAAGACGTAGTCGAAAGGTAAACTAAGGTTATATATAAGTAGATATCATATCGGCTATTGAAAAGCACATCTAAAGCTAGACTGTGACGCAAAGACAGAGCTATCGGAGTCTGTTCATATCTGCGAAAAGAAAAGAAAAACAGACATCAAAAGATACTTCGAGTGGAAATTGAAGTTTCTCGGGCAATAAATAGCATATTTCCTTTTGATCCAATCAAAACGTCTGATACAGTTGATAGAACTTCGAACAGCAGATCGAATTGCTGGTGAGTTGATTAAAAGATGGTAGGTATACTGAAATTGTATGTAATGAACGACTCTGTCCTGATTTCCTAGTCTCCCCAAAAATCCAGATGAAGCTGCCAAAGTTGAGAATCGCTGTACAGATTATGTGGCCTCTTGTGTAACGAGCGCACTCATAGCTCTTCCATTACAATAATGGCTACCGAGTGGAGATGATTGGAGATCTATTGTTGATGTCACTTATATCTTAGCTTGGGGAACAAATAAATTTAGAATAGTTCGCTTTAATTTCAAAGCCTTTATTATCACATTCGGTACTATGATCTGCTGTCTTTAACTAAGCCCGTCTTCACTTCAGAATATAGTATCCAATTGCTAATAGGACAGCGAAGGCAACGAGAAATACTCCTACCGCAATTCCCGTCTTTGCTATTGTGCAAAGAGAAAGTTTCACGGGTACATTGGTACTAGAAGATGCTGTAAAGGATGTTGTTGAGGTTAAAGTTTTAATAGGCTCTGTGATTGTCGTTGATTGAAAGCCTGTCATTTTCCAACCTTATAGTCTGGCTAGAGAGCTAAAAATATACACAAAAAAAGAAATTTCTGATGAGAATTGCTAAGAGCCTAGCGCTCTCGCTCACTCTGCTAACGTAGGCTTAATGACTCAAAACCACCACTATATACAGACAACTACTCATTTGTAATGGCGCCCTTGATCGTCTTCTCTGGAATCATGACATTAGTTGCCTGATGCTTCAATAATAACTCTATCACTTCCTCTTTGAAATTAGAACGCCTTTCTGCGACTTCTAACACCTCTTCAGTGATTTTCACTTCTTTCCCTCGTTTCTCCAATAAAAGCATTATAACATTCTGTCCATCAAGATAATTTCCTACTGCAGCCTTCATAATTTTTTCAGTAATAATTAATTTTTCCCTTTGTTTCTCAAGCAGAAGTGCCATAAATTCCACTCGGTAATGTCTAGCAATCAGCATCACTGCCTTTTCGGGAATCGTTGCTTCTCCTCGTTCCTCAAGTAGAAGCATCATAATTTCTTTCCGATCACGATTCTGCCCTGTAGCTCTTACTACTCTCTCAGTTATGAGTACTTTTTCCTTTCGTTTCTCAAGCAAGAGCATTATAATCTCTTTTCCATAATAAGAGATCTTCGCTGCAATCTCTAATATCTCTTCAATGAATATCATCTCTTCGCTTCGTTTCTCAAATAAAAGTTTCAAAATCTGATACCCGTCATCCGATTCTGAAATTCTTGTTGCTGTTTTCACCATCTCTTCAGTGATTTTTATCTCCTCGCCTCGTTTCTTAAATAAAAGCTTTAAAATCTGATACCCAATTCTCGGATTTCCTGCCGTAGCTGTCAATACTTTCTCAGTAATTGTTATTTCTTCATCCCGTTTCTCAAATAAGAGCTGCAAGATCTGATACCCATAATCCCAATTTTCCACTGCAGCTGTCAATACTTTCTCAGTAATCTTTACTTCTTCATCTCGTTTCTCAAAAAGAAGCTTCAAAATCTGATACCCATCAATCCAATTCGTCGCTACAGCTATCACCACCTCTTCTGTAACTTTAATATTGTCCTGTTTCTGTTCCAACAAAAGTTCCATCATTTCATGATTAGATAACTTTCCAATTTGTATCATATCTTTCTCGCTCATCTGAATGTTGCTTTCGATCTGATTGAAAATTCTCATCGTATCTCTGTCATTCAAACCACAGTCTAATCCTGCCATATAGACCAATCCTAGCTTTGCAACACTTTTCAATGTATCTTGATGATATTTACCCTGCAAACCATTTCTTGCCTGTATCAGCTGCAAAAAGGATTTCTTTGCTTTTATCATGTCATCTTTCTGATAATAACTCCATGCAAGGCTTTCTTTTAGTGCTAATACATGTAAGTTTTCTCCTCCAAGCATTCCTTCGTAGTGCTTTATCTGTCTTTGAAGCACATCTTCCTTTTCGTAGTTCCTAGCGTCTGTCACGGCAAGTACTACATTAATTGAATTGGCTACTCTGTTTGTCTCTGTCTTTAGATACTCCGGCACCAAGGAATACCTCTCAATTGTACCTTCATATTCTGCTTGGCATTGCAAATTCTCTGGGCTTTGCTCCCAGTCCCAGATAAGTAGAAAATCGCGCGAGAAGTTCTTCATTGAAGGCGAGCAATGCATGTGCTCAAAACATCCGTCTTTTCTTTGCATTTTGTTTTGTAAAGCAACCGCAATTACAATGATGACAAAATGATCCTTGTGTACTCTAATGATGGTTGGCTCTGGAGCCCCTTCCAAAAGACAAACGAGATCGCCTTGCTGGATAGATTTCGCTGAAGCCTGGAGAGTCCAACGAGTGTGGCACTTTTCGTTGTTGATACTTGGCTGATTGTTGAATTCGATATTTACACACTGCCTCTCGTATCTGGTACTATCAATATCTATTGATTGTACATGGCCAAGTACATAGCCCTTGCTATCAATTAGTGCTATCTCCTTGCCCTCCCAAGTCTTTACAAACATAGTTTGGGAGATTGTAAGTTTAACAAGTCGCTCCAAGAGCGTTGTCCATGTAACTTTATAGTCAGGGGACAGTCCAGCTAGATTAGAACTATCGGAACTCATGTTGAGCAAGGCATACACCTTGTCGTGGCGTTTAGTGGCCTTACGGGTATGATACATGTCTACCAATGCACCTAGAGAAAGTGCACCTGACGACCTGATTGCATGTTTTGGTCGAAAAATTGCTCCTCTTATGAGGTAAATCACTGGACGGATAAGATTTGGCAAGTATGATTGATGATTATGGAAAAGCTTGTTGAAGCCGATGCTGAAGGTATAACCGTCTATTGTTGCAGACCCACACATCATCAGGATTTGTTGAGCGAAGCCAACCTCCTGAAGAATCTGCATCGAATGTCGTTAGTATTCTCCTTGAATATTATCGATTATAAATTGACTTGCCCAGATACGTTGAAACCAAGGTCTTTGAAGCAATTCAAAGATTCCCGCCTGGTGTACCTCATTGGTTATCATACTCGGAGAGTCATCTTCTGCAGCTATACGTATACTTTCGAGCGCTTGGTTGCTATCGTCTGCTTCATCACCAAGATAAACAACTACACGATTCGCTTGACCATAGATCTTCCCCATTAATTGAATCTGATGACCCTTCTCTGTATGATCTTCTTGATTGATACAAATAGAATCCACCCATATGATTCTTTCGAAGGCGCGATCTCGAAGATGCAGCAGTGCAGTGTAAAGGTTTGCTGTAACAGATAAAGAACGATTGTTTATATAGACAACTTTAGGGTTCTCCAGGCTACCCCATACGTAGGATAAAGCTTCATAAAGATGAACCCCCCTGTCCGATTCTCGAAGAGAATAATCATGAAGTCGGCAATATATTGGAGAGGACAGGTCTTTGGCTGGCATCAAACCGAGCAAACGAATACTGCCAGAATCCAGTGGGTCTGTAGAATAACTGTATTGAGGCATGACGTGAGATTCAATGTACAAGAGTTAAGAGTAATTGGGATGGTTGAGCTCAGTGCTGTTGTCTGCTCGACTTTGACCGAGTGTCAATTTCATATATGAGGAAATGTATAGAGCCTTGTGTCTTCAACTGTGAGATGAGACTCTTGCGGCAAAGGCGATCAAATCAAGTATCCATATATGCTGAGGGCGGGGTAGGTTGACGCCACTTCCAGGTGTCCTAATCCTACCCTGGATTTCGATGTCAATTCGTTATCGGGGTTCTAATCCGTACAAGGAAAGCCTTCTCTATTGTTCAAGCGAATCGATAGAGATGTTGTAGGTGTTTCATACAAGGAGAGTTGTGAATATCTTATCTAAATCCAATAGAAGACGAATGTTGTTTTACGAGGAGTAGATGTTTAATACGTATCGCATCGCTGGAAGAAGCGTTTCGCACAAGCAAGTAAAATATTAAATCAGACAGCTAAAGCTCATAGCTCTAGTAAGTCACTCGTTGCATTCACAGTAAGTTACATGGTGGTAGTCACCAGAGACCAAAAACGCAACGTGGAATCAGGGCCAGTTGATGAGGCAGAAAACAGTAAACCAATATCAGAAAAAAACAGTTAAGATATGGAAGTACCCTTGGAAATACATAATGGGTGCTAGTTTTGACTGGGTGCAAACTCAGAACAAAAGTAATACTCCGCGGGGCTTCGAAACATAGGTTGAATCAGATGACATGATAATCAACTGACTAATATCATGAGAATAGCCACGTGAAAGATACTCCTCTGAGCATACACTTGCTCAAGATCGAATAGCAAGTCCAACAGATTCCACTAGGATTCATTGCATACAGAATACGACTCTGTTCGACAAATCACAAAAGTTGCATGTTTCGAGCAGCATTGCTTGTGGGGGACCTCGGGAATTACAGGTTGATATCTCGCTTATATAAGCGCACGTGAACTCATGAGCTAGCAACGCGTCGCGCTTCCAGTCCTCATCATCTATGAACTTCCAGCAACTCATGAAGTGTTCAGTACTTCTCTTCCCTCAAAATCATTTGATTGCAAATCATGATGAATAAGAGTCATCAATTCTCGAAACACAGTCTCGCAACATATCTGTGTCGAGATAAAAGACTCATACGGTAGGTCAGCTGGTCATGGATTACACATGACTCTAACTGCTGAACATCACTGCCTCAAGTTGTCGCAGATGCTGAAATGTCAATATATAGCAACCCAATCCTTTCCATAAGTGGAATTGCTTGCTTTGCGAATTGTTTTCTTGCTACTAGAACATCACTCGAGATTAATTATACAGATTTGACTCGTTATTCTCTTGTGCCGTTGTGCTCCTCGTTGTATACTTGAGGAACGAAGCAGCAGTGTGCGCTCTGGAACCCAAAGCTCTGCGAATGCCTCCGAATCATAGAAAGTCAACCTTGTCTCGAGAGTCCTCTACCAGCTCTAGCCAATCTTCACGCTCATCAGAAAATCGCAAACGTTCGCGCAAGATGTCAAGGAACTCTCGATCACATCGACATCATACACGAGATAGAGATGTCGAAGAGGAGGTAGCCGGCGTAGGGAAGCGCGTCTATAAGACAGTTGAGAAACTCGAGAATCCAGTGAAGAAGCTCGGCAAGCTTGTTCTCTGGAGTGCTCCATTAATTCTTGCGGGGTTAGAAGTACGACACGAATGGCATCATCATATACATAAGAGAAGAATGATGGAGAAGGAGTACGAGAAGGCACATTTGGAAATACAATTACAAATGGAGAAGAATGGGAATAAGGAGGGTGTTACGGTGGGGGGAACGAAGAGTCATGAGCCGACACAAGAAAAAGAAAAGGCTTCAGCACCTGCATCTGCACCTACTTCTGAAGAAGTACATATCCTGCCCTTTCCTATACAGGTCGACCGTCGGGACGAATATCCAAGACGACATCCTTCGCGACGAGAGCTAGGGGAGAGGGAACCATACTTATTACCTCCTTTAGCTCCCGATGTACCATGTCAAGATGTGTGGGAAATTAGACAACCAAGAATTCGAGTGAAACAGCCAGGCTCTAGAGATGTCCGCTTTCCTCGAGTTCGTTCGCGTTCTGAGTCTGTTTATGAATATAGGCGGTGGTAGATTGTTATGTGTCTTTCTTTTTCCTCATTTATACTGCATTTACTCTAGTTTGGAGCGTTCAGCGATGTTGGACTTTGAGGTTGTGTTACCTAGAATTCATTTCTGATACCCTTTGTCGTGTTGTTATCTAGTTTATATATCAGTTTAATGATAATTTTGAGTCATGAGTACTGGCTGTGGCCTGGTTTTTTATTTTAAGCTACTTGTATTTAAATTGCATACTGCTTAACTCAACTAAATCAATGCGTCAAGTGCATAATTGTGATCATCTCAAACAAAACTTCTACCGACTTGCTGATATACGACTAAAGGCAAGGACCTCTGGTACTTCGTATGTTTCAATCGTGCACTGTTTCCCCTCCTTCACCTTACCCCTCCTCAATCGAAAACACAATTCTCACTCCCTCTAAGCCCCTTCCCAGAGACAGCGTCGGATGAGATTATACGAATTCGCTACCAACAGCTTGAAACTTTAGCACACGACGGGTCTGGGACATCGAAATGCAATTCTCCTGATTAGCTAGACAAGTGGTGTAGAACTTAAACTATTTCGATCTTAATGTTCTGAATGAAAGACGTTCTTGAATCGATCGTGTTATACCATTCAAATGTGACTTGCGAAATCCAGTCATCTGACCATACATCATGACCTAGAAATGGATTCCAACGAAAGGAATGTACAACTGGTAGTTGTGCATTATTCTGTGATTTTCCACTATTCTTATTCTTCAATACATCATCTTCGCACTTTTACTACCTCCCACCCATACTTTCTCATGCCTAAACCTCTTAAAACTCCTAAGCCTCTACCCCCAACCCCCTCACAATCCTCACAAACGATGCTGTCTAACACAGCACGCCGCAATCAACGCTACCACCGCCGCAAAAACAGATAAAGCTATTCATTCATTAATCCCCATTAGTCACGATGCGCCAACACCAAACTTCCCCAATATCAAACAGCAAAGAGAAAAAACTACATACCATGAGTGTAAGATAAACAATTCACATAAACAATCTTCACCAATTCTCCCAATTTTCCATCGAGATTCCGCACGTATTCGATATCCGAGAGTGCTCGTTCGATGATCTGAAGTTAAGAGGAGGTATAATTTAGTAACTTATCCAAGAAGTCAAAAGACAAAGAATTAAAGAAACAAAACTCCACATACCGTTTGACTCCCCTCCCACCCCTCAAGCGCAACCCTAAGACCTTTCTCAAGCCCCGCTTCCATCACACTCCCCGCGCCACTAACGCCCACTACACATCCTACATTTGCGCTTAGAAAAAGTCCACTCGTGGCAATAGCCAGCTCTTCTTGTTCTACTCCTGCTGTGAGTCCGATAAATGATGCTGAAAGTGCGATTCCGTTACCGAAGCCGCCGGGGATGATGTAGAGGGATTCAAGGAAAGAGGTGTGGCCGTGCCAGCGGAGGAGGAGGAGGGTGTAGGATGTTAGAGAGGAGAGGGCACCGAGGAGAAGAATGGGTTTGTAGTGTCCGGTTCTAGGGAATGTTAATGAGGGATTGTCGGAAAAGGAGGAATTGAGACGATGAGAGGGAGGGGTACTTGTGAATAATATATCCAGCGAGAAGACCTCCTACTGCATTTCCAATTACAGAAGGTATGAGATGTGCACCAGCCGTTGTAAAAGTCGCATGATCGGTTATTTGAAAATAAATCGGAACAAGCATCATCATCTAACTCTTCATTAGTCGCTAAAATTGAACGAATACTTAGTCAAGAAACAACATACCGCCATCTGAGCGCCCGATTGAAAGCCCAAATTAATATAACTTGTAAGCACATCTCTATTACGCAACAATCTCAAGGGGAAAATAGGCTCTTTAGCCCAAAAGCCTTCTATTAGAAAGAATAAAATTCCAGCTGCAACTGAGATGCCAAATAGCGATAGCAATTTCAGATCAGTCCAAGGCATTCGATGACCACCGAGATCGAGGACCATGAGCCCGCAAACGATTGAGACCGAAAGGAAGATTGAGCCTAGAAAATCGATGCGCCGTAGTTTCGAGAAGTGGAATTGTTTGCCGCAGGTTTGTTGCGGAGTGATATCCAGCTTCCAAAGTACTAGCATCAAGGCTAAGATAGTAGGTGGACACTGTGCTAAGAAGGACCTGAACACAAAACAATCAGAAGTAGAATACTACATATGCATCAGTCACTCACCATCGCCACCCAATAGTATCAGTCAAGAACCCTCCAATTGGCCCTCCCAATGATCTTCCAGTCGTAGCCGCAATATTGACATAGCTTCTCCATTTAGCGATTTCTCTAATTGGAACCATATCTTGTGGATATGAAATCAGCTTCGTTAAGAACAATGTGTGAGAAACACACCTGCAGTGACAATTGATACTAGGCAATTAATACCAGCACCACCAACGCCTGCGACTAGTCGACCAACTACCACTACCGGGAGATTCCATCCCAGCCCACTAAGTTTTGTGTTGGCTGATTACGAGCAGTTAATCAGACACAGTTTTGGGTGAGAAACATCAAGTCCAATGACTAATTTCGTAATGCCCCACCATGTCATATATCGGCACGAGCAATAATGACCCATAATGAACTTCAAATAGTTCATTTCCTTGCCAAACAATCATAACAATCGAGATCTTTTCACAAATAAAAGCTCCTACCAGATGGCACAGCCCAAAGCAAAAAATACATAAGAAGCTAATATCGTACTCTTCCTCCCATAAATATCGCTTAATTTCCCATACTATTTTGCTAATTAGAAGGTGATTTTGTATCTGAAAACGGGCGTAGACAACACACTAGAGACTGAGTAGCGCACATAGCCAGCATATAGGACGAGATCAGCCACCCTGCATTTCCCAAATCATTGAACTCGCTACTGATAGTTCCACTCGTAGCGAGAACCAGTGATCCGTCTGCATTTGCTATAAAGACACCTGGAGATGTGTGACATGAGGTATATTGATGTTGAGAACGGGACAATAGATGGAGAGTAATCTCTGGCTTGGAGAGCCTCTAAACAAGAAGTCCAATTACACCCACCTAAAAGAAGGATCGAAATGACGCCTGCTATATTACGCGAGCTTTCCGGCGATGGATCAACAAGGGGTATCGTGTATATTGTGGATTCCTCATCGCTGTGAATGAAAGATTTATTGTAACTCGTGACTTCTGGGGTTTTCGCATCCAAAAGAAGAGGTGTAGACTCATCATCCCTTGACTTCTGAATCATCTTGTTGGTTGCAATTGACATGCCTAACAGGGGAAGCGCTGTGAGGCGATGACGAAGCTGAGAGAAGAATGGTGCAATGTTTAATTTTTGGAGAAGAGAGAAGCACTACGGGACATATATAGTAGACGACATCTCCCCAAATTTTTATATGAGATAAATGCAAAGTTATCCAACATGTTTTCTATCCAATGGTTTCCCGCACCCTTGATAATATCAACAAGTGGAGTCGCGGACAGGGAAAGTTTCTACAAAGGAGATCTGGATTTTTATCCTGCGATTCTTCATATGGTTCGAAGACTTGCGGACATGTCACTAGCACATAAAGGCAAGGATTGATAGGGAAAGGCCATTCAACTACGTAGAATCTGGCAAATATTAAATGTTTTCACCAATCAGTCGATCTTCATCTCTGAAAAAGCGACTCCGGAGATAACGAAAACTTCATGGCTAGGGATGCATACTCCGCCAAGGGACCGTTTTGTTCATTCTACACCCCGCAGTATGCAGTAAGACAACTAGAACAGCTTCTTATCTGGCTTGCTCGTCCATTGTCTGTTATGCATAAGCAATGATACACTACCTTATCTTTCCAACTGCGGTATTGCCAATTGGTTTCCGCACTCAACGCAACGACAAAAATAACCGGAAATCCCATTTTTCTTGGGTCTACCGATAGATAGCTTGGCCAGAATCCATTGGAGAAAATTTCATACGGAAAACTTGCCGAAAGGTCATCCCTGGCATTGTTGCAAGATCCGCAATATTTAAACGCTTACCCTAAGGACGGCTTTTATCACTTGCATAAAAGTCGCCATCAAATATCGATCGAGGGCTATCGGAAGACTGCCTGGATAAGGTCGTGGCGTCTAGTTCCAGACTTGAGAGGTTTCTTCGTGGGGGTAGGGTAGCTCACGAATGGTACGATTGTTTTTTGTTCCAGGGCAGCATTCGACGAATGAACATGAGACCGAGTACAGGCTAATGGATTTGATAACGAGACCAGCCGCATGATGGAGATTCTCGTCTCGTGAAGCCTGGAATTGGTAATGGAGTTGGACAATTTAAGAACGATTGAGAATTTTATAGACAATATGTGGCAGAAAGTGAAATGAAATGGTAGTCTGTTGCCAAATTCAAGGGATGATGTTGTTGACTATTCTATTCACAGCTGCGCATTTGAACAAAAATAGGATAATTCGAGACCGTTAAAGTACAATGTGAGCGAATAAGGAAAAAATCCGAACCTCATGCATGCAACTCCTGGAAATAAACAATCGAATAATCTGATGGCTGGACTCGGAGTATTCGAGAGGTAAATCTCCATAGTTCGGTAGCCGTTCCAATTGTCTTGTTAAATGAAAGAAGAAAATATGTGGAACATAAAGATTAATATGTTTTTAATTTGTGCCTTTCTTGGCTTTGAAGTCTGTTTCCGAGACCCCTTCCGCTCAAAATCATCCAATAACTCCTGGATTCGATCCCTATGTAACCCAATGCGACGCTAATACATGCAAAAATTTGTGGTATATTCAATCCCTCAACCACGCTCTTCGTTTCTCTTCCTTTTTTTGTTTCCTCTTCTCCTTAAATTGCTTTAGTTCCGCTTTAGATAACTTCTTGCCACTGCGTTCTTCCTTCAAACTTCTACCATCGTGATTATTTGCCGCAGCATCAACGTCGAAGAAAGCGTTCATTTGCCTTTCACTCTTATTCTCATCATTGAAATTCTCCGGATTTATTTCTGCAGCTTGCCAACGTCCTGTGAATCGATTGAATTGGCCATTTGCTGCATAAGCGGCGGCTGGATCTAACCCAGCAGCCGTTGGTTCTTCAACTGTCGATGATTGCGCATACCAGGCGTTCGGATCATAATCTCCGTGAATAGCAGGATCATAGCCACCAGCTGGGCGAGAAGTTGGGTCGAGTTCTGTAGATACAACAGCAGACTTTGTAGATGGTACACCTGGAGGACCAGGCTGCGAGACCTCTGGAACACGAGGGTTATGCCATTGTGTGGCTCCGGTAAAGCGATTGTAGAAGTAAAAAGCTTGATTTGTCTCATCCCAGACTGGCGCCCAACCATCATCTTCTTGTGCGACAACTGGAGGTTGTTCATTTGGGAGGGGCGGAAGAGGTTCTTCTGGTAATGGCGGGCCCTCGGTAGCAATATATTTTTCCCTTGAATCACTTTCACCATTTTGATTCTCATTCAGATTCGTATCATTATCTGATGTGACGCCTTGCTCTTCTGTACCTGTTGATGAATCTTGAGAGGTCGCATTATTCTCTGGATTTTCAATTTCTGCAGAGTCTCCGCCGAGCTCTGTATGCGTTAATTCTGTTTTGTCGTGGATTGATGGGTTCTCGTTGTCTAGAGATTTTTCGACATTGGCTTTCGTCAACTTCGCCGGTTGAGTATCTATGGTACCTGAATCTGGAGTAGACATATTGCACTGGATCTATTATGCATCAGAAAGAGCTTTTGACAAAAGAAATAGAATGGCCTGCTACAAGAGATAATTTGCGGAGTAGAGTGATTCCAAATTGTTGTAAAATTAAAGTTAATTGGTGTCGCAAAGTTGAAGATTCAAGAGTTTATTGCCAATGGCTTTCGAACCTTGGAACATCCGGGCGCTAGAGCAGCATAATAGCCTGAGGCAAATATACACACTCTTCACACGTGATTGAGAAAGTCAACGGCAAACTTGACATGTGAATCGAATGGGAGAAAAATGTTACAGTTGTTCAGTCAGTGTTCATACAAAACTATTTTCTTACATCTCGCGCAAGAATATCAGGGTGAAAGTGCAAAGAATGAATTTGTTGTGTAATAAATTTTGAGTGTTCCATGCATTTGCTACAAGAAGCCCGTTTACCACAAGCTGCAAATGATGTTCCGTAATTATTTTTTGATTTACAATTAGCTGAGTAATGTTTCATAATACAATAATGTTACATCGATGCTAATTATTCGTTGATCTTCAACATATGATATCTTGCGCAGATCTGATGGCTTCCCGTGCTTTCTCCAGATCTCGTTCGATAACTGGATCTAATCCTTTGCCTTCCTCTGCCTTGTTCAGGTTGTCACCAACAATCGTTTCCACGTTCCTGACAGCCTTCCTACCCTCTTCCCTAACCTCGCCTTCCCAGTATGCCCGCGCAGTCTCCCATTTGGTTTGCATCCGCCTCATACTCCACACTATTCCAAAGGCGGCGACTGCTCCCGCTTCGTATAAAGTTGTAGACATGTTACTCACATACATTAGACCGGCAAGGGCCGACGTCAAGGATGAAGTACTGAGGGTTTGTAGGACAAGCTTTTGCGCTAAAGCTTGAAGAGCAGGAATGGTAGTTGTAGATAGGAATGATCTTGCAATGGGAATATGTAAAGGCCAAGGCTGAGGCTGTATCTTCATTGGTGTATCCTCATCCGTTTTGATTGGGATAACATCTCGAAGTTTTGGTGGAGGAGGTAATCCTTCTGGAAGGGCCTCCTGGACAGGCGTGTAAGCCCAATCAGAGCTCTGTGTAGAGTCAGAATCAAGAGATATGTTTCGATAGACTCCAGCTTCTTCTGTCCGTCCGGCTAGAAATATGATCTCTTTTTCGGCCTCGATCAAGAAGCTTCGGCTCAACATATCAGACGTGATCATGGAAACATCGTCAACACGCCAGAACAACTTCCACCAACCCAGCTTACGCCATCTCTGACCACCAAATGCCACATCCAGTTGATCCCGAAGCTCAGTATGAGCACGTTCAGACCAACTAGAAAGCTCATGACGTAGTGATTTCATCTGGGCTGAAGGTATTCGAGTAGACAAAAGAAGGGACAATTGTCTAGCTTGTTCTACTTTCAGGTTTTTATCCGCATTTTGTACGGTAGATGAAATCAGTCTGAGGAGTGGTTCTTTGATAGTCTCTTGAGTTGAGGATGCACCTGACTTCACCCAGTCAACAACTTCTGGAATACCGCTTGACAACCATTGACGCTCGTAAGCCATCGCATTCTCAATGCTCTTACGGAATGTTTGCAGAGCTTCATTGCCAGATGAAATATCGATAGATGGTATAGGTAGAGATTTTGATTCGAAGTTTGGAACGTTGACAGCACTTCCGATAGATTCTCGGTTTGCATGCAGAGGATACGAAACAAGAGAGACTGCTCCCATAATTCCTTGGCCTAGAAGAAACGATTTATGTACGGGCGTTGTAACTGGAGTATAACGGGCTGCACTAGACGGTATCTCCATTGTCGGTACTAAGACTGTTTCTTCGAAAAGTTCGGTTCCGTTGATTATTGGAGGCTCCATTTCCAAAACTAAAATCTCCATTTTGTGCCCACTGAACATCGGAGAAGAAATATTTATTTCATGTACCAGCCTGCCATTCCGCTCCGAGCTTTCTTCCTCATTATGTCCCACCCTTATCAATAATGGCCGGTTCATGTCATCACCGTGGATTATACGCCGCTCCCACTCCTCCTCTGCTTTCAATGGGTCCGCCAAAATGAGTCTCAGGAGCTCTTTAGCCTTCTGAAGAGAGGTACCACCATCTGCAAGTCCTAGTATCGCAACCCTTATTGTCTCTTGACCCTCTGGTTGTTCTAAACCTCTTAACGCAAGTTGTAGTCTAGAAATATTCACATAATTCGTGGCGTGTTTTTGTACGTCGAGTAATGCCTCTCTGAGAGAACTGCGGTCTATTTTGGAGATATTACCAGTTCCCCCATTATTTATAGTTTTTATAGGAGCAGAAGATGAATGCCGAACTGGTAATTGCGGGGTGGGTAAGAGTTTGCGTTGTCGAGGTTCACTCCGAGGCCTCTCTGAATATTGAGATAGAGTGCATATCGGGCAGATATGCGATTTCTCGAAATTATTTGGCGTTCGAAGGGATTTTTTCCAGCCAGTTCTCGCCCTCGGTATTCGTGGAGGCATTATGGTCGAAGCAAGAGAGACAAGATTGAAGATTTTGGGAAGCTCAACCTTGAAGGTTGGTGTTTGTGCCTTATATTCAAGGCCAATATCGCGATATTCTAAGCTTCAGTTACGTCACAAATTGCACAACAGTAGAAAAGTGTATGTAGTATCTGGTAAATTAATTATTTGTTCGTCTTTCGGTAGTCGTCGTCACATAATCATGGTTTATTTAATTCCATTCCCCCGAACGCTCTATCGAGTTCGTCACCTTCTTGATTTGGTACAGCCACAGGGGTTTGTGCGAGGCGTGAAGCATCATTATTTGACACATCAACATCCATAAGGCTTTCACCTCCTGCAACTGTCTTCTTCTCTGGCTCTAATATTCGAGCATCACTGTCCAACCACCCGGGAGCTACTCTACGCTTCTCTGCCAATTCTCTTGCAGCTATCGCATCTTCCCATGCCTTCAGCTCCCTGTCTGCATCGTCTTGAACTTTCTGTATGTAAGCTTGAAGTGCTTTGCAAGATGCAATTATCTCATCTGGATGTGCTGCATGACCCGACGACGATACAACGTATTGAGATCTCCCGTCGCTGGACGAGGCTGAAGCTGCCGTAGATGATGGTGGCAACGTTGAGGGAAGAGTTTTATATGTATATGGAAGAGTAGTCGCAGTAGGAAGAGAGACAAACGGTGAGACCGTTAGAGGTACCTGCGCTAACAGTGGATGGGTACCTAAGCATTGTTAGTTCTTGAGTTTCTCTATCGGTGAAGTTGTACCAGGGGGCACTCAACGGTTGTCCATGATTTAAATGGATCTTGGGAAAGAGCTATGACCAGTAATCTTCTATCAATTGGTCTTCGTTTTTTCCAAGTAATAATAGACAATTAAATGGAATAAGATTTACCAAACAATTGATAACCCTTGTCTTTTTTTTTTTTCCGGTAAAAGGGATTGCGTGTAGTGTTCTCGAAGAATTGGAAGGGAAGAAGGTTGGTTTATACTCTTGGAAGAGCGATATCGATTAAGCCCCTGGATCTGGATCTGGATCTGGATCTGGTTCGAGGACTATGAAATCTGGGAATGGGTTTGGGATGAAGATTGGGTTGGATTGGTTTGGATTGGTTTGGTTGCTTTACTTCGTATAGATAGATGCCCAGGCGTTCCTAGGTAGGTCGGTAATGTTCTCAATTGATCGATTCTTTCCCTTCTCTTAGAAGAGATACAGTCATATGATGTTGGCAATTCGAGACGGGAAATGATATGTGTGTGTGTGTGTGTGTGTGTGTATGTACCTGATAGATATGTACGAAGAAGGAGATACACCTAGGTATGTATTCGTATGGGCAAATAATAATAAGGATATTCGTACTTTCTGCTCTTCTCTTCAATCTCCAATACTCATGTGTCCTGTCCTGTCCTGTCCTGTCCTTGTAATGAATGATAATACGATAATATAAGTTGTGGTGATGTGGAACCAGTGAATGGGTAGAAAGTTGGTCGAGGCTCCAAAATCCCCACAGATAATCGTTTTTGCTTAGGCACTCACCACCATTCACCCTTACCAAATTTATTAGGCAGTCTCGCATTCTGGCAGCACCCTGGGATTTGCCGCCTTTTTATTAAACTTCACCTCCAGCTTTGGCTTAACCTTCCCCGAAACACAAACAAGTTGAACCCTTTAAAACTTATCTGATTGTCAGCCTTATTGACAACAGCTACCAACGACAGCGAGTTCAATATACTCTGCCCTTTCCTTTGATCTTCAATAAAGCTTCCTTGGAGTCTTCGTTCCGATTTGTTCAATTTGCTCAGGAGCTGATCCAAGTTATTTACGGCTTAATTTGTCTGCTTACTTTAAGGGTCCAATTCGCCTGTATTGAACAAACTCCCCTTTTCTTCAGCTGCTTTTTGCCATCCGCTTTTCTATCCCGATCGCAAATATCCAGTTACGACTGATCCCCTTTGTGACACGACAGTCACCAGGAAATTCCATATTCCTTCATCCTTTACACCGTTCGCCATCATGGACGGCGAGGACCAACCCAAAACCCCGCTGACCCCACTTGCGCCAGCGGGCATTGAGAACAGAATGCAAGTTGATAATGCTTTACGAGCAATTCATCAGAAGAAGCCTGTGCCAGAGATTGATTTTACTCTGCATACTATGGAAGATGGAAGTCAAGTGAGCACGATGGAAAGAGTGTGCAAAGGTATGGTTAAATTCAAGATGCGCAACTGCCAGAGCGCGATGCTGAATCTATATAATTGCAGATGTACAAGCACCTGCCATGGTCCCACCGACAGATCAACAATTCTTCTCGCCACAAGATCCATCCAAGCCAAATTTACAATTCTTGAAGCAACATTTCTACAGAGAAGGTCGTTTGACCGAAGAACAAGCTCTTTTCATTCTCGAAGAGGGTACAAAAGTATTGAAGCAAGAACCTAACCTTCTGGAGATGGATGCGCCAATCACAGTTTGTGGTGATGTTCATGGACAATATTACGATTTAATGAAGCTTTTTGAAGTTGGTGGAGATCCAGCTGACACCAGATACCTTTTCTTGGGAGATTATGTCGACAGAGGTTATTTCAGTATTGAGTGTGTGTTATATCTTTGGTCTTTAAAGATCTGGTACCCAAACAGCTTGTGGCTACTTCGAGGAAACCATGAATGCAGGCATTTGACAGATTACTTCACATTCAAGCTTGAATGTAAGCACAAGTATTCAGAGAGAATCTACGAAGCATGCATGGATTCATTCTGTGCATTGCCTTTAGCGGCTGTTATGAACAAACAATTCTTGTGTATCCATGGAGGTTTGAGTCCTGAGCTACACACTTTGGATGATCTTAAAAGCGTATGTACACCTGTTATTACTTTTCCAGGACGTCTCTAATTTGAGTTGGCAGATTGATCGATTCCGCGAACCTCCCACTCATGGTCTTATGTGCGATATCTTATGGGCAGATCCATTGGAGGAATTTGGACAAGAAAAAACTTCCGAGTTCTTCATTCATAATCACGTTCGAGGTTGCTCATACTTCTTCTCATATCCCGCTGCATGCAACTTCCTTGAGAAAAACAACCTTCTTTCAATCATTCGAGCCCATGAGGCACAAGATGCTGGTTACAGAATGTACAGAAAGACTCGCACAACCGGATTTCCTAGTGTTATGACCATTTTCTCAGCACCCAATTACCTCGATGTCTACAACAACAAGGCCGCTGTATTAAAGTATGAGAACAACGTTATGAACATCAGACAGTTTAACTGCACTCCTCATCCTTACTGGCTACCAAATTTCATGGACGTTTTCACTTGGTCTCTACCCTTCGTTGGAGAGAAGATTACCGATATGTTACTCGCAATTCTTAGCACTTCTTCTGAGGATGAGCTCAAGGATGATCAAACTCCATCAAGCACCTCTCCTGGTCCTATATCGCCACCAATCAATTCTCCAATGGATCCGGAATCCATCGAGTACAAGAGAAGAGCAATCAAGAACAAAATTCTTGCAATCGGTCGTCTTTCCCGAGTCTTCCAAGTTTTGCGAGAAGAATCCGAGAGAGTTACCGAGTTGAAGACTGCAGCTGGTGGTAGACTTCCAGCTGGAACTTTGATGCTTGGAGCAGAAGGTATCAAGAACGCGATCACTAATTTTGAGGATGCACGAAAGGTTGATTTGCAAAACGAACGTCTCCCACCTAGTCACGAAGAAGTCACGAGACAGAATGAAGAGGGACGAGAGCAAGCATTGGAGAGAGCGAAGAGGGAGGCTGATAATGACAAGGGGTTACAATTGCTTTCCAGAAGGCTTAGCACGTGAGTTACAAATCTAAACCCAAATCGGCTTACCATTGCTAACATCGATGTCTCGGTAGTGATCGTAAGAAATAATAAGATACAAATATACAAAGGAAGGAAGGGAATCAGGAGCACTTTGGGAAGCTACTATGATAATCGATAACGTCTTGGAGGTCATATCAGTGTTATTCTTTGGGAAGCTGCCATGGGGATCGATTTAGGTCGATAGATACATTTTGATCAATGATTTGCGTACTTGAACTGTTGATGCATCAAGTGCATACAATGTTAAGTCTAAATTTATATTTGAAAGTTTTGAAGTGTGATATTTGTTGTTGTTTGATTTGAGGATTCACCTGATCTGTTGAGACTTCTTTTATCCAGTCCAGTATGAATTCAGACTGCTGTGTTGTTTTGGGAGAAGAATGCTACAGGTAGGTATCGTCACCTCATAAGCGGTCTTACTGACTTTTCCTACATAGGCGACGCTTATAATGTATATATCTAATTTAGTATGATTTGCTGCTTGTGTCTGGTAATCAATGTTGTTTTTGTTTTGTTTTTTTTGTTTTTTTTTTGGATAGTTGCTTTGCTTTGCTGGTTTTGGGGGGTTTCTTTGTGGTGGTGTGGTCTGGTGCGGTACGGTGTGGTACGGTGTGGATGGATGGGTAAGTAGGTAGGTGAATAGGTAGGTATGGAGGTATGTATATGGATTCATGGGTGTGGAGTTGGGTTTTTGAGGGGATTATCTGGAGATGGAAGGAGGATAGAGAGGGGAGAGAGATGGAGATGGGGTTTTGATGGGGAAGTTGATGTTTGGAATGAACGTGGAGGATCTTAGGGTTATAGGATGTAAGGATTTAAGGATGTGAGGATGTGAGGAGTATAAGTTATGAATAGTCGGGAGACTATTTCAATATTTTGATATAGAGGATTTTAGGATGTGAGGATGCAGAAGATGACTTTTATCTAAGGAACTGATATCTGTGGTAAAAAGCTGGCGTGCAAAGATATTCTGGATTATGAGTTAAAGATATGAGGATGTGATATGAGGATAAAGGAATGTAAAAATATGAAGATAAAGTTAGAGAAGATGAGATATGAGATATAAGAAGATGGGAAGATGGAAATACAGTAACGATTTAATTTTTTTTAGGATACTTTAACTAAAAAGGAGACGTGGGAGGAGTGGGTGACTATCTAGAACCGCTTGAGGCTGGCTTGTATTACCTAGATTGGGTTGAGTTAACTTGCTATATATGGTGAAGAATTTATCCCAGCTATTTTCTGGAGGAGAAGAAAAAATCAATAATACTCAAAGAGTATAAGGCGATAGGTTTATATCTATATAGATATCTAAATACTAGGTAGATATCTTATATCATTCCCACATTAAGAGGATTCACTTTCCCGCATGAACATATACACTATCTACACACCTACCTACCTAGCACTAGCCATCAAGCTATACATCTTCCCTTGATTTTCTCGTTTCCATAATCATCATACTAAGCTCGTCAAAATGAATATCTCCGAGCATCATCTGTATAATGTTTAGTTACGTATACACACATCACCCAGCTTTTACAACAAGATGTAATAAATGAAAAATACATAACCCATATACATATATTCGCATCCGCAATACTCACCGCCATGTATTATTCTCCACTCCCTTTTTTGAATTCTTCTGAACGTATCTGCTGGGCAAAATTCTAGATGCGATTGTGGTTTTATATTGCTGTGTTACTGTACTGCTGATACGGAGAGGTTATCTGGCGTTCTCACCGCTGGCATGAGATACGATAGTGTGGAGAGTATTCGAGGATAAAGCAGTTTGAAATATAATTGGAAATACAGATGGGTGAAGTGCGATATCGTTGTTGATCAAGCTTTATGCGGAGGTGCGCGTGGTTGTGGATGTGGATAAAGAGCTACGTACTCTATTGAAGTACGTGCGTGCGTGCGTGCGTGGTAGATGGAGATGTGATGCTGGTGCGGGTGCTGGTGTTTGTGGATGAGAAAATATTGAAGAATACATATAGCTTCGTAATCCATGATCGAAGTTCTACGCGTCAAAATGAAGGTTCAGAAATGCGATTGTTTGAAAAAGGTCTATTGGGTTCGAGACTCGGGAGAGTATTAGCGAGAGCCCTATTTAGTGCAAAAATTTCGTGGCGAGCAAGATAAGAATGCGTTTTAGATGCAGTTTTGCTATTTTTTTCAGCTTATCTATTTGAAAAGATTTATTATGTGTACATGCTTCATTATCGTTGGAAGCTCTGCGGCTCGATGTAATGTTAGAAAAATCGATATTCTCTCTTAGCACAATATCAGCGAGAATGAATGAAGTTTATGGATGGTACTGGCTAGGATTGTCTCCGCCAAATGAAAATTTCAATCCAAGCATTTAAGCGCCTTCTAATACGTAGTGTTCAAGGAGTCTCGAAGGCGATCTATCACCACCCACGATTATCACTCAGCTGCAAGATAACGCAATGAAACTGCTTGATGAAGATCTAAAATAACGTTTCCCTGTTTATCAGAACCGGCACATGTTTTTGGAAAATGACCATAAAACATCCCAGCATAATAGCACCCTTCAAGAATGGAATACCACCCTACGATATGATGAATACTACCATATGATATCATAAAAGAAATCGGCGCACCCTCCACTCTTACCCCACGCCGCGAATCTCAATCCTCCCACAAAAACCTCAACTTGAGGTCTGAGGGCACCAACGGAGAAATGTCGGGAGACTTGCCAAGCGAACTCCTATTTCATCCATTGACGAAAATCTGCATAATCATCATCATCAATATCATTGAGAGGAATATCCTGATTTCAGGAACTTGTGTTCTCTACGAAATGCATGAGCGAGCATTCATCGAGACTTAAGAGAGATAAAGATTTCGAAAAATTGGTCTACCAGCCGTCCACCTCGCGTAAATCGAAGACCTCATCGAACCCCTGTATTGCGTGCTCAATACACCTCGGAAAATCGAACTTTTCGATTATTCCTTGGGTGCTCCTAAGAGGCTCGAACCTTAACATAGAGAGGAGATAAGAAAGAAGAAAGAGAAAGAAAGGTAGATAAGGTTATTGGGAAGTACTTTATAATATTTTGAGAAAGGGTTCGTGAGTGTTGTCGTCAAAAGGCGGGAAAGTGATGACAAGATTTTGAGTTCAGCGACGCATGGCCCAAAATGATAACTCCTGTAGAAATGCTTGTTTCTACACTGCGCATGCATGCTAGCAATTCTTTGTGGAACCCCCACTCGACCGGGTAAGCAACTCGGGAGAGGTACAAATTTGTACTGATGTCTTTCCACCCCTTCATCAATCGTGACACTGGTGGTTTTTCTGATAAATTTAGTGGCTTTATTGTTGTTTCTCAGCTGCATGAGTGGGGTTCGTAGCTTGTTCAGCTTGGTTATTCGAAAATAATGATTGGGAAATAGCGGACAATTGAGAAGTTATATATCATAAATTGAGCACTTGGACTCGGAACAGTTCGCGAGATGTGAAAGCTCTTAGCTACCCCACTTCATCCACTCTATCATCGTTTTTGATACAAGACGCCATCGACTCAAGTGGAGTCCAATCGGGAATCGGAAATCTAATTACTATACAGAGAATTGATTAGATCCAAATACGTCCTGCCAATGTCAACTTGGTTAGTAAAATGGGCTACTTGAGAGGAGGTTCAAAATTCTTCGATCTCGACTTCCTTTGTCTATTGAAAGAGGTTCAAAATTTCGTAATATCTTTGTTTTCTTCGGTCCTTTTGTTGAATAGAGTTATAGCTCGGTAATCGAGAACGCCTGATTGAATGGAACATATAAAGCTTTATATGTTGAAGGTATTCGGGTAAAACTCGATAATCCGTCTATCTCGTCTTCATCATTCGTTACCACTCTGGAGATTGTATCACTGTAGGATTTCGCCGGCGTCATTTCGCCAGGATTCTATTTCCGCACATTCACTAGATAGTACAAGTGGTCGTTTGAAACACATTCGCAGAAAAATTGAGTGAATCAGGCCTTTCTTTTTTCACTTCTACGTTAGGGATCATACTGGATGAAAGAATCCCACGCATATTTTTGCTTCTTCCATAGATGCTGGTCTCGGGCGTTCCTTTCCGCACACTTGGGATCCATTCACCTGCGCCTTACGACGCCTCCCCCCATCTCCACGGCACGACCCTGGGAGTTTCTCCACGCTATCGCATATAGATAGAGCATACTTACATAATATTCGTACGCTCTACCGCCAATAGACACCCATAAATCAAACATATCCCACTTGTCGAACTTTGATTTACAGCTTTGTGCTCGAGTCAACTGGGCGGGGTGCTAGAATAAATACCCTGAAGATTGTCTGATATCTGCAATTCTGGTGTATTTGTTTTGTCGTCCTGTCACATCTAATTAGCACAAAAATTTACCATACAACAAGTCGCTATGACGGCCACGCAGATATATCCGTCTATCGTTCCGATAACAGAACCAGAGCTCCTCTACCAATCGCAGCGTTTCGATCCTCAACCACAACCTAGTTTTCAGCAGCAGCATTCATATTTAGATCCTGCCCTAGCTCAGCATGATCTTAGAGTATTCACTCAACGGCTGGCGCAGAACCCGAGCTACGATACCCCAATAGCGCCATACCCAGCCTCGGATAGTAGTGAGGGTTCGATGGATATGTGGGGGGGTGTAATGAATTGGGTCGATAGACAGAATGCCGGTAAGTTCTTCTTATTTATCTCTTTCGTTCTATAGGCAGAAAAATACACCCGCAGACGACTGAAAAGGTTTCTGCGTTCTAGCACAAGGAGTTCGGGAAAAATGACGGCGATCGTCATACCCCAATATTCCCCGCAAGCCATTATAGTCCACGAAATTCGAGGCACTAACTCTCATTAGCCATACCTATGCATCCATATCTGCACGCGCAGCCCCCACTATCAGCACCTCTATATGCCAAAACACTTTCCTCGCCCACACAGTCGCTTTCCCCAAGAGAACCAAATGCCAAGCGCGATGCATCGACTGCAGCCTCAGCACGATTCCGCCAGAAAAAGAAGCAGAAGGAAAAGAGCCTAGAAATCAATGTCAAAGAACAGAAAGAGAGGATTGAGATGATGGAATGCAGAATAAAGGAACTAGAAGGCGAAAACGGATTTTTAAAGGAATTAGTCATGGGCCGAATCAAGTGGAAAGAGGAGAGAGAGAACGAAGAAGTGAATGAAGAAGAGGAAAAGAAGGAAAATGATGATGGGAATACGGAGTGATTGTTGTCTATAGGTACAACCATACATAAAGAGTGCAGGGAGGGAATAATATTTGCAATTTTGCTTTGTTGCTTGGAATTCGCATAGGACTCGTTGGAGTTCCGCATATATACCACAGACTTCTGTCAAAATATTCGTTTGTTGGACTAGTTAGCTTCACTTTCTTACTTTTGATGGATCCTTCCCTGATTGAGAGTTCAATGTCTTGAATAGAAGGAATTCGAAGGAGTGCAATATGATAGGTCGCTCATGTTTGCTCGCTTTGATACCGACGTACGCACATGCACCCGAAAGAGTCATGGCGGTTGAAGGAGTCGGACTGATATAACACGAACATATATTACAAACAAAGCAATCCATCTGTACTTACTATTAGTGTCTTAGCTAGGCTCGATAATAGAAAGATAGAGCACACACAACTGAGACTTGCACAAGTCCTGATAGTGGAAATTTCTGCGGATAAATATTAGTCCGAGCGGCCGCTCTCTCCGAATACCTTCCCTCAATTCAGCCTTATAGAAACAATTCTAGAGGGGTCTGTTGGATTTGTTGGACAGCAAAAAATTGTCATTCATTCACGAAACTTTTGAATTCAGAGTCCAATCCAAACAACTCAGGAACCTCGAAGCTTTGGATACCCTTACTTTGCTTTCTCCATCCGAAAGCTAACATGCCTCTATCAACAATACACTCGGCGCCAGCTTTGGACTCATTCACACCTTTAGTAGAACATCAAGCACAAACACCAAGCACATTCTACGACGCTAGACCTGTACTACATTATCATGCTAAAGGTGCGCGTGCAGCTGCATCTGGAGACTATATAAAAGAATTGCCGTTTCTTGCAGAGGGTCCAGCACAGAATTCGGAGGCAGCTGTTGTAGAGACAGTCGACGCCTATATTTCTACTGAGTAATTGTTCATCTCTCACCGTTGTACACATTGCGTAAATGCTGACTCGTTCATTTCATCTAGGAACGTCACTATATTCAATAATACTACCTCAGCTGGACTCGCAATTCCCTATACTTCTATATCCTTACATGCCATTCAACGTCTGCCTGATCCTACAGATGCATCGAAAGGAGAGGTAACTGGGTTGTTCATGCAGTTAGAGACACCTCCTCCAGCCGGAGATGATATGCCATCGATCATCGAGTTGGTTCTTATTCCCGCCGAATCGGATTCTACACAGACATTATACGAAGCTTTAACGAATTGCTCAAATCTTGTACCAGACGAAGACGAAGATATGGAAGAAGGAGGTCCTGAATTTCAATTCGAAGGTAATATCGGATATGAAGGTATTACCGGACTTCCAGGAGTGCAACAAGGAGCTACGGATGGTGGGTTACCCCCTCCATTTCCAGGCAGTGGCGGCTGGATCACTGCGGAGAATGTTTCGGAATATTTTGACGCAGATGGAAATTGGATTGGAGGTGAAGAATCTGTCGAAGTACTTGGTGAAGGCGCCGGAAGGGTAAGGGGATATGATGAGGTCGACGGAGAGGCTGAAGCAAATGGTCACGATGAGGGCGATGAGGCTAGCAAACGTCCAAGGACCGATTGAGCGGGCAATACTTTGGATTTTCGTAGTTGCAAAGCATGGTTCGAAGCCGACTGAGCCTGTTATATCATCTATTCACGCGCCTCGAAATTCTACAACCGAAACCAAACCACTAGGAGGGATACTTTGGACATTTTCGCTCAGCCATTAATGCTCATGGTCGGAGAAGAGCTATGCAAATAAATACCCATTTCGCTACTTGAGGAACTCCTTTAAGTCGCCAAAAATACAACGATACGACGATGTATAGCCAATACGAAACAATATAGTGCACATGCATGTTTACGAGCCTTCTATGTGACAGGTAAAATGTGAGGTGGCCATGTCATCTCTACAGTTAGATAGCCTTCATATCTCTAATTCATGGTACATCTCATCCATCATCGGATATCAAATTATCCATCTCTTCCTGCAATCATTATCCGCTGATTATCATTATTCTTTCTGTTTACTCGAGCTAATTTGGGCTCGGTGTTGGACGCTCGAATAACTTGCGCTTCTTATTCTCATTCTTTCTCAATCTATTTATGAAAGCTCGGTACAGGCTATTATATAAGGAGGAAGTCAGGCAATTCTTATTCGTCTCTTTAGATTTCGAACATTTCGAACATTTCGTAAATTTTGATTTCATCTTTGACCTCGATACAATTTTAAGTTACGATGGCCGTTATGTCAGCCCTAGTCGAGGCTAAATTGTTTTGGATTTAGTGATCAGGTCTAATATCTATCACCTTTCGTTGAAAATCTTTGAAGCGTAAAGAGTGGTTGCAATTGGCGCCATATGGATCTCATGGAGTTATATGCATCATAAAGCATGGCGTGAGAATATGAATCCCCGAATCCAAGGGAAGTGATGAAGTGTCTTCGCAAATCATCAATAGGCCGCGCTATATTTTGTTGTAGAAAGTGATTTTCCAACGCATCAATCTTGAAGGGAGAAATGTTATTATTTCCACCAGTGTCAGCTTTTTGCCATTGATTCTGGGATTGAACTTAAAGAAATCGGCACGGGGATATGATGTCTTTTTCCAAAGTCAAGATCGTCTTATAACGCTAATAACTCCACTACTTCCCCCAATTGGTCAAATCACTATATGTAGGTTGTTGGCTTGAATCCAGTGAATTCAATCATCAATAAAATCTACATACGAACAAGGCGTGGAAAACCCTAATAATAAGTCTTATACTCTGAGAGAGGCTGCAAATAACCTGGCTAGGAGACCGAACTAGGCGCGGCCTGTTCGTTGCTAAGGCTCGGTTAATTGCCGAAGCCTTAAATGACATCTACTGTTCAAGTTCCATGACCTTCCATATCGTGAATACATCCCCGCATTCCAAACTTTTCCAGTTGCCTTTAGTTGCTTTACTCTTTTTCCAGAACGTTCTCAGCGCCACCATCCTCCGACGGCGCACTTGAATCGATTTTCCTCCCCAACGCATCATGCTCTCTGTCCCAAGCTTCAAGCTCAGCATTCGGTACTTTGATCAGCCTATGAGCTTTTGAACTTTCACCATCCATAACTATCAATTCTTGCCGGATCTGGTATTTACCAAAGTACGGCAGAATGTAGATCCAGAAAGCGTAGTAGAGGATACAGGCACCCATGATACCCAAGCCAACGGCACAATAAGTACCATACCAGAAGCTCACATCGCCACCATTAGCTCCTCCAGGAGGAGGATACCACGGCATGACCAGTAAGAAAATATTGACCGCCAATGAGAAATAGAAGGCTACATCCCACGTCTTAAAGTCATCGTCCACGATGCCTAGTTTCTTTCTGTTCCTCCTAATAATGAGCAATCCTGCAGTCAATGCGAACAAAAAGAGATTACTTGGATAACTATATAAATCCACGATAAAATTGAAAGCATCACCCGAAGGTGGGGCCAAAATCATGAGAATAGTCAAACCCCATTTTAAAATATAAGCAGCAAGAGGAGTTCCGAAAGGTCGAGTAGAAGCCCAAATACGAGAATATGGAAGTACACCTTGACGACCGCATTCTCTGATGATGCGAGATGATCCTATGGTGACTGAGACAATGTTTCCAAATGCTGACAGAGCGATGAGGAAATTGAGCGCGCGAACAGGTTTACTGGCACCAAATACTGCGGTGAAGAAAAGAGAAGCGGCGAGTTGATTTGACTCTTTGAGAGTTTCTTTAGGGACTAGCAGATGTTTTAGTAGGGATCTGGAGGTGATTGGAGGGGTTGCATACTAGCTGCAAAATAAGCCACATTGCAAAGAATATAAAGAATAGCCACAACGAGAAGCGAGGCGGGTCCAGTACGTTTTATGGTTCTTATTGGGTCCTTGAGTATATTAGAATATTCTTAAATCTGTTGCAGGATATTCAAATCTTACTTTCACTTCTGCGATGATATTAAATGCATTTGCATATCCAGAGTAGGCAAAGTTTATTTTGACTAGTGCATTTGCAAGTCTATAACCACTATTTGTCGTACCGGAAAAGGCATTTTTGAAGTTCTCTGTGGGATTTGCAACATTAGTGTGACCACCTAGTACCACGAGACCCGCGATTGAGATGCTAAAGGAATATCAGTTAAAATGAGAAAATCAAATGGAATGTCTCGACTTACAATACGAGCGTTATGAGCTTGATCACTCCGATCACGTTTGATATCCGTAGAGAATGTTTAGTGCTAAATATCACCACTATGATACTACGTCAGCCGCTTTCAATTTTATGAGGTGGAATTAATACTAACGAAGGGTAATGAAAGTTATGCAAGCAACTGCCAGTCCCTTCTGCTCCCAAGATGAGGGTGTGTAACCAGCCATAGCAAACAGATAATTACCCATGACTAATCATATCATTAGTTTTCATTGACACTCATTGTAACTTTGGGAAGTCACTTACCAATAGCATTACTACTACTGATAGAAAGTAAAACCGATTGCACGGCGAACGTGGTCGGAAGCAGATATCTTGGTCTCGGATACGCTTGTTCCAGATACACTACTTCAGCTCCAGATCTATTCGGAAAGAAACTGGCAAGTTCAGTATAGATTGAAAATTGACAACCAGAGATGAGTAGACCGAGTGTCCAATAAATTATAGCTAGACCGACTGAACCCACTGCTGACAAGATGCTTGCGGCTGGAAACTATTAGCCTGAGTTTATGTGATATGTGTTGGAACGTACGAGTTGAGAAGACACCTGTGCCAATCATTTGACCTGTAGGTAATTAGTAGTCTATTCTGAGCTGTGAATGGGGTGAGCAATACCAATGTTCAAAAAGATTGTAGTGAACCACGTAACTTGCAGACCAAGAGGCGATTCATTTTCGACTGGTGCTCCTGAAGCTTCTTGATATGATGGTTTCGATCCATTGTTTCCGTATTCATGAACGAATTCTAGCGCTCCAAGTTCCCCGACTTCCGCTTCTCCAGTATGGCGATTTACCACAATTTCTGAATCCTTGGTCTCCGACATCTTGATTACAAGCCTCCAGCAGTTGAATCTCCATTACCCACGGCGAGCCTCGTAGATAAGTACCAAAATCGAGCAGCTTTTCGATAGCCATAACAACTCCATATCTCAGCTCGCACAATTGGCGAGATATTGCACTACAGCCGTGATAATGTACGACGTTCAGAGCGACCAATCGTCTAACAGCAGAAAATACCACACTCTATTGTATCATTGCGCCATTACTGGGGTCGCAATCGGCAGTGTAGAAAGTACCAGATGCTAGGATTGATAACGCAGCTGTGTGGTTGAAGTGGATCTAATCACGAAAGCTCGTCATAGGTTACATGCATTTCGTTATCAACGACGATAATACATATTACCCCCAGAAAACTTTTGATGTAACCTCAGATTTCCTAGAATAGATTGTCGGGGAGATATGACGTCCCTGCTTAGATTGTGTATCTGTATTGAGATAAATCTCTCGTTATCTTACCAATAATTGAAGTTGTGTGATGCTTGTTGTTGAACAGGAGTCTCACCCCTCAACTCACTTTGACCAATCTCTGTAATTGATCTGTTATCTTCCCCTCTCTAACAGTTATAACATTGTGTGTTTCTTGAAGCCGATGGCAATGCCGTGGTCTGGGGCTTTGGGCCTCTTTAACTTTATTTTCCCCGTCGTCAGGAGGTTGTCCTGATACCCGCCCTAGTATCACGTCTTTTCCAGTATTATTAGCCAATACTAGCAAGATTCAGATACATGATCAAGTTCAGTCATGATTTTCAATACACAAGCGATCATCGTATCTGTACAGGAAACTCAATAATCTGAATTAGATAGAAATTATCTACTTCAAGAAGCTATCCAGTACCTGAAGTGGATGAGAGGGTCCAGGATGCTTAGTTGAGCTGACCATTTGAAAGGTTTCCATCTCCATATTCTAGACTAGACTATTGAAAACTTTATTCCATAGTCCTGCAAGTATGTCGTTCCAGATTTGTGATGATGCTCGATTGCGCTTGTCATGAACTAATTAGTCTCAAATCCAAAACTCTCCTTCGGTCTCTCCGAAACAATACTTCTCTCCTGTATCAATTTCCCTTTTTCTGAGTGTATTTTCTTACCGCTTTGCCCTCGAATCTTTCTCTAATCCAATCTATCCATAGCCACTGAATTTTTGTGATAGCCGAGTCGCGTGTAGTAGGTAGTCTTTTGAATTCCAACTCAGAATCAGGATACTTCATAGCTGTATCATGTACAGCCTTTTCCGTAAGAGTAAAATCTATGAACGGATCTTTCTCCCCATCAACAACCAACAGTGGTCCGCTAATTCTCTTGCCTCTATTCATTGTCAAAACGTTATATTCGATAACCCATATCTTAGCGAGTTTCCCTAAAGTGCCAATGGTAAAATAAACACATTTACGCTGCGCCACCTTCCTCAACGTGTCTATAAGTGTTCATTGCGGCGTGCCCCTCCTCGGTAAAAATACTGAATACTGGAATTTGGGAAAAACATTTTCTTAGACCGAGCATCATTCCCGCCCAGACGATAGCTCCAATTAGAACAGAACTACTTCTAATATCTGTTGTAGGACTGATTGCAATTCCTCCAAGGTACCCTTCAATCTTTTCTTCAACATGGTTTTTAGTAATGGGCAAGCTGCGCCCCCTCCCTTGAGAATCACCAATTGATACAAACTTTGATCCTAGAGATGGAAATGTGAAACGAGCCTCCAAAATCGAATATGTCACATCGTTCGCAGCAAGAGGACTGGCGGGATAGTTGTGAATAATCGGTTGGTTCTGTGGTTGAGTGCAATGGGAGACACCTAGATCGGCATAATCAATGGCAACCACAACATAGCCGGATAGAACTAGGAAATAAGGCGCGAAGAGGGGCTGTTGTAACTTTCGGAGTTGAGAAAGAGCGCAATCAGAGAATTTAGCGGAGGTATTATGGGCCCAGGCGACGATTTGGGAGCTACCATCTGGGTTCTTTCGTGGGATAAGAGGCTAAAGTATCTACACGGAGACAGGAATGGGGGGTCCTCGGTAAGGTCGAGACACTGGTGAATGACACGCGAGATCAAGACGGAAAACGGAAAAGAGTACAAGGTAGGATCGACACTTTCTTGGCATTTTAGGAGAGTTACTGGAAGTGAGGAGTCTTAAGTAGTTTTCAGAGAGAGTGATATATCAATTCAGCAACTGATATAGTAGTAGGGCGACTCACCACCTCTCGATACAGCCTCTCTAGTTTCAAAGAGCTGACAATGTGACTCAGAAGGGAATGACAGTCAAAATTGATAGGCATTTATACTACTATTTCTGTCATAAGATCAGTCGGCCAATGCGCAGCATCAACACCGTTTGTTCTGGTACCAACATTGTACCTCAATTCCACTTCTTTGTTTGGGAACCTTAAAATAGGTTTTACAGTTTTGATATCTACCCCGACAGCCTTAGTCTCTCTATTCTCGAAGAATTCATCGCGTAAAATACTTTTGCCCGTGCCTGACTTTATTAGGGTCTGGAATAGCCTGGGCATTGTATAATTCATATTGTGGAAGTGTCGGAAGACAGGCTTGTAATTCCTTGACCACAGATCCTCCCAAACTTCTTGTGGATACATGCCACATGAGTTGACAAGCCACTGAGAATAGTAGTTTAGAGCAACATCCATTTCGTAGGAGCCACCAGTTTCTGAGCGCTGTATCAGCGCTTGAAGAATTCCAACAATACCCGAGACTCCAGCGCAATAATCCGAGTTTGGTAAGATAGGTGTGACAGGCTCATCGTTACCCATAGCTCGGCCAAATTCCATCGAGACACCACAGTTTGCGTCGCTAATTTGTTGCCATCCACTTCGATATGACCAAGGACCATGCCATCCGTAACAATTTTCTCTTGCGATAATAATACCTCGACTTCTGCCTTTAACTAGCTCGCGAATGCCATCATTCCCGAGCCCATATTTATCAAGGACTCCCGGTCTGTAACCAGTAACAACAACATCTGCATCTCGGATCAATTCCCTGGCTTTCTCAAGATCATCTTTGTTCCTGAAGTCCAAATGGGTGTTCCATTTCCCCCAATTCAGATCGCAGTGCAGTTGAGAGTAGTCCTGAAGATGCGGAGGAGTGATCCTCATGACACTTGCACCCAATTCTGCCAAACCCCTTGCTATTGCTGGAGCTGCGATAACTCGGGTAATGTCAACGATTTTCAAGCCAGCCAAAGGTCGCTTTGGGCTTGCTTGCTTGGTTTCGGGCCACCAACTTGCAACTTGGGTGGTATTAGGATGGTGTCTGATTTCAAACAATCCAACGTTAGCATTGGCTTTGCCATGCTCGCTATTTTTATATTCCTCCTTTGTCCAACAAATCGTTCCTGCTTGTTTGTACTCATCTGATGCTATTCTTTGCATGTCATCTGATTCTATTTGTCCTATCTTTTCTATGAATGGGTTCCAAGACGCTTCGACGCTTGGCTGGTCCATTTCATAAGGTAGTCCAATGCTATCCAAGCTAGGATCTGGATTCATGCTTCCTGAAAGCAGTGAGCAAATATGTCATCTCCAGAATCATATAGAAGCACTCTCACCATGTATATGAAAGTACTTTCCATCTTTTGTCTTGTAAATGTTTGTACAAGAGGCACGATGATGTGTTCCTTGTAATCTGTGAATATCAGTTGAAGGGAACCATTTTGCAAGAAGTTTTCCATTTTCAGAATTCGGATCAGAGCCATTGAATAGTGTCACCTTGGCTCCTTCGTGGTTAATCTCCCACAATAGAGTAGACATGATAAAAAGTTGTGCATGATCGCTGTATTTATTGTAATTTGTTAACTGCCGTTGCGAAAGCGAGAGCGGATGTGATGTTGATGGAAGGGGCAAGGGTGTGAATTTAGGAAACGAGGCGGTGTCGCCATAGTATGATCAAGGTTACTCACGTGTTGATGATAACTTCTTTCGGCTCCACATCATATTTCTTTTTCAACAGTGATAAAAGCACCGTCGCTTCCAAAGCTTTGATTGAAGATATACTCTCAGCGAACCGCCAATTTATTGGTAAAGTTGGAGCATCCTGTCCTTCAAATTTGATCTTCTTGCCATGATCTAGAAAGTCCTTCGGCAGGTTGGGTATGATGGTGGGATTTTCCAATATCCCTTGTTGGAAAACCTTTTTGGTCTCTTCTGGTACAGAATACATGATCGTCTTATTATATCTATTGAGTGACAAATGATACTTGAAAAGGTACGTTCCACAGGAAGCTCTTTATAGGAGTGCTCATACTGACAAAGTGGTAGCCACAATCCATTGGAATATCAAGCTTTTCAACAAATTCTAACTTTGGTCCGAGAACTCATCAACGGGCCTCGGCTCAAGTGACACGCCATTTCCATACTTTTACTATAAGAAAACATCCAGATAGTGAATTAACTGACACGAAAGAAGCTCTGGGTGGTCGTCGTCCACGTGTTGTTGTCTGAGTCTTTTAAGCCGATGATAGTTTCACGAGAAATTTCCTATTTGGGATTCTGGATGGAATAGACTCTGCGCTTTCAGTATGAGCCGCAGATCGGCCGCATGCTATTACCCCACAATCTGGTATCAAGCACAGTGAAAGGAGACCCGCCATTTCCGACATTGCCGCAGTGACTTATCATTGCTCGTTTCACGAAGATCACTAGAAGTGTGTGTTGTATATCAAACACTATACATAACTTAGTTGTGGTCATGACTGCAAAGCTGAACAGCAGATCTTCTTCATCCGCTCGTATAAAAATTACCCAACACAACATCACCTGCAGTAGTCCCAAACCCCGAGGCTAACTACAAGCCACCGAGGTTGATGAAAAACTATGTAGCCAAACTCATATATCGCTTCATGTGAAATTGATCTCTTCAGATTCACTTTTCTTCACTCCTATTCTTCGTCATTACCTTCACATATCAGTTTCTTGTCAATTGGAGCTCAGCTTCGATACTATGGCAACGTCAAATGAGACTCCAATTGATGGCGCTTTTCAGCCCAGAAGACACGTCAGAGTCGCCAATTGTTCGGGTTACTTATGTTCGTGATTGCTGCTATGAGTTCTTGAGAAAGATACTGACTCTCCCCTGAGGTGATCCCGCTTACAGGATGTACGAGCAGGTTTCATTAGGAAATGTCGATTTTGTTACCGGTGATTACCTTGCAGGTATGCCATTGATGTGTGAGAAACATGAATGAAACTAATAAACCCTCGGAAGAAATGAATATGGCCGAGAATGCAGAGGCATATAAAGCTGGAAATCATCCAGGATATATCTCAACTGCTTTAGAGGGACTGTCTCAATCTCTCGAATTGCTAGCCGAGAAGAAGACCAAGGTTGTTATTAATGGAGGAGCTTTGAATCCCGAAGGCTTAGCAAGAAGAGTTGATGAACTTGCCAAACAACGCGGGATTGCCCTCAAGGTTGGCTGGGTCTCTGGAGATGACCTGATTTCACATACCGGACCGGATATGGCATCCTTACGCGGAAATTTACCGAAACACTTTGATTCATGGAACCAGGATCTACAATTACCGGCCAATACGTTTTCTTTTTTGGGGGGTAAATCAATTCCTATCGTGTTAAGTAGTGCTTATCTCGGAGCTCATGCTATTGTTAAGGGTTTGCGTGAAGGTGCCGATATTATAATCTGCGGGCGAGTTTCTGACGCATCTCCTGTGATTGCCGCTGCATGGGTAAGTCTAATGATAGCTCCAATTTCACTCACTTTTTTCCTTCTTCGGTTTTCTATGTAACCATTTTTTTGTCTCGTGAAAGCGTTTCGATCAAAAGCATTTACTGACTGCTAGACGTTTTAGTATTGGCACTCGTGGTCAGAAACTGATTACGACTCGCTTGCTGGATCCTTGATCGCCGGTCATCTAATTGAATGTTCAGCCTATGTAACTGGCGCCAATTTTTCTGGCTTCACTGAATATAATCAGGACATTTTCGTTGATCCAGGATTCCCTATTGCGGAAATTGAAGCAGATGGTTCTTGCACAATCACTAAACATGAAGCTACTGGTGGGATGATTACCTCTGATACTGTCGTGGCCCAACTTCTCTATGAGATTCAAGGTAATCATTATCTGAATAGTGATGTGACTGCCGTCCTTGATAATATATCTGTCTCTCAATTATCTGAGAACCGGTAAGTGTCAAAAATCTACCTCCATGTCGAGATTTGTTAATTAATGTAATGATAAAAGTGTCAAAGTTACCGGTGTTACTGGTCTTCCGCCACCTCCAACAACCAAAGCAGCAATATTTTGTCATGCCGGATATCAATGCCAAATTCTAGTAAACGCAACAGGTTATGGTACCAAAGAGAAATGGGCTCTATTTGAAAGGCAGATGAGAAGAAAATTAGAAATTGCTGGAATTGATACATTTTTTGAACTCTTGGAATTTCAGCCGTAAGAAGTCCCTTTGTACCTGCAATTTTTGAATAAACGAGTTACTGATTATACAGTATCGGTGTACCCGAAACGAATCCTTTGACACAACTCAGCAGCACAACTTACTGTCGTGTATTCGCCGAAGCCATCGAAGCTGCAACTCTCCAAGGCCTAGTCAAAGCCCTCACCGAAATATCTCTTCAACACTTCTCAGGTTTCCATGCATCCCTCGATATGCGTACTGCGATCCCCAAACCCTTCCTGGCATATTATCCAGCGCTTTTCCCTCAAGATCAACTCGATGAAAAAATGCATATAATCAGTTCCGACAACGAAGTACAGACATTTAAATGCGGACACCCACCAAAATATCAACCATTCACTCGTCGCGCTACATACGACACTGTCTCTCCCCTATCCTTGACCACATTTGGACCTACAAGAAACAGTCGACTAGGTGATATAGCACTCGCTCGCTCCGGCGATAAGGGCGCGAATCTCAACTGCGGGATATTTATCCCATCATCCTCTAACCCTAAACTATACAACTGGCTCCAGAACTATTTCAGTCGTTCGAAAATGCAAGATTTATTGGGTGAAGAATGGAAAGAAGGCTATGTGATTGAAAGAGTTGAGTTTCCGGCCATAATGGCGGTGCATTTTGTGATCTATGGGTATCTGGGGAGAGGCGTTAGTAGCAGTAGTCGTTTGGATTGTTTAGGAAAGGGATTTGCGGATTACTTGAGGGATAAGTGGGTTGAGGTTCCTGTCGAGCTTTTAGGATAGGTTGCTTCTTTACGGAGAGCCGACGATACTAGGGGCATAGATATCTGCAATGAAACAAATATGATATATCAAGAACCGGATTAGGGATACTGATGGTGACTAGTATTTTTATGTTTCTGAGAAAACATGACACCATATCTTACCATGATTATTTCTGTCGTGGCTCCACTTGAATGTCAGAAATGACCCATTACAGATTCAGGATGTGATTCTATGTAAATTGCATCGATCCCAAAGATACTGATGATATTCTTCCAAAACCGACTGTGCCATTGCGAAATCATGTATGCCAAAGTATACTAAAGAGAAATCCGTATTCAAAAACCAAAACACGATAAACAAAACCGATACATTCTCCTATCGAGACCCTCACAGACTCTGCAAAAACGAGACTATTGAAACCAACAGATTTCGCTAACAAAGACAATTTTTCCAAATCATCGTCCTCTCGACTCCCCGGCCCTTCAACATCCTCGCAAAATCCAACCCTCCATGCTAAACGACGCCACTAGCATATGTATGCAAAAGTCAAAAAGAGCAAAAGAAAAAACATACAACAGTGGGGATTCGCTGGTGGTCACCCACCCAACTACTAATCCACCGATCTGAAGCTTGTGTATGGCAGAGCGGACGGGATGCCCAATTCTCTTCAGTCTATGGTCGTATGTGACAGATGAGAACTTTCATTGCAATATATTCGAATATCTTTGATGACCGATTCTGATATTGGTAGGTACTTTTCAGTCTACTGCTTTTAGGTGGGACTAATGTGAGAGTTCCCTTCAGTATACGAAGCGGAACATATCTGGTGTATATTTTATTAACAAGTATCTTACGACAGATATGACAGCTTCAAAATGATATCAATTCAGAAGCGATAGGAGATATATGGTAAGAGACGTTGAAGCAAATAGAGGATTTTCATAAGACTGGATGAATGAAAAACTTCTGGGGGAGAAAATACATGGGATTTAGATCTTGGTATGAAGATACACACTAGGAAGGACTGAGGAAACTATTCGCACCCGTGTGACCTTGAAAATAGAAAACAATGAGATGGAATACGGAGGTTTTTTATTTGCGCCATTGTTTGGAATCTTCAAGAGGATATCACCTTGACGACCAATGCACCTGCTATCTGAAACCAAGACCTTGCCTTAAATCCCATTCTCATCCATAGGCAACAAATTAAGCCTTCTTGAATTTCTCCCCCGAAATCATTGGTCCGACAAGCTCTATCAAGTAGGATTTGCCTTTACCAACTTTCACCATCAAACTAGGAATTCTCCAACCAAAAATCTGTCCAACACCGCCTCCATTTCCGATGGGTACGAAGATAGTTTCTTTCATCGGTTTGAATTCCTGTTGTACGGGATATCCAGTTCCAGAACCCCCAGCAATCATTTTCCATACTGAGCCCAACAATCCAGGCGCGGGCTCCGCAGGCTTCTTGATGCCGAGATCGGTGGCAATATCTACTGCGAGAGAAGAACAGAGTGTTGCGAGCATAGGGTCCATTTCCAAGGCCGAATTGGAACTTCCGGCTACGATATCTCCTAATACGTAGATACCCGTCACATCGTCCGAACCATTTCCCTTGACGCGGAAATAGGCATCACGTGCGATGACGCGTCCTGATTCATCGAGCCACGATTTCGATAGGAATTCACTGTTAGGTGTTCCTCCAGTAGCGTCAATGTAGATATCGACATCGCGTTTACTACCATCGCTGAGAGTCAAAGTAGTAGGGGAAATACCAGGCTCAGCAGGGTTTGTGCTTTCAATGCGTACATCATTGATAACATCGACGTGAACAATATTTTCGAGATAATCTTGGGCTCGTGCACTGGTCGCCGGTTTGACTCTCGAAAGAACTCTGTTTGCACCAGAGAGAAGTGTAACCTTACAATTTGGATAATTTGTTGCAATTTCGCCTGCAGTTTCAACTCCAGCTGCGCCGCCTCCGGCTACGAGCACAGTCTTTGCGTTGGGGAGAGCAGTGTGTAATGCACTCAACGCGGTTTTTGTGTGTGATTCTGAACCGTGGAGTGTCCAGAGCGGGGATTTGGAGGTTGTACCTGTGGAGATGATGAGAGAGTCGTAGTGGACTTGTCGCGTTGTTTCTGTAGTTCCATTGCCTGTTGATATGGTGACTGTTCGCGTTGCGGGGTCCAAAGCTGAAGCCACACCTTGGATTAATTCGAATTGCGAGGCGTCATATCTTGAAAAGGCCTCGGACAATGGTACGAATATCTTTTCATGGGGAATCAGAGTTCCATTGATGAGAGCTCGTGGACTGGCGATCTTGAAGAAAAATGATGTATTGGGGGTGACGAGTGTGATGTGATAGGATTTTGTTTGATCGAGACGATGGAGTTGAGGTAAAGTTTGACGAAGCAATTGGTGAACGGCGTTGACTCCGCCGAAGTTCCCACCTAGAATCACTACTTCGTGGGCAGTGGAGTTGGACATCTTGAAGGTATTCGGAAATGGATTGACAATATGATGGATAAGGTTGAGGTTGAGCTTTGAATGTCTGAAGGTCTGTTAGCTATGGAGATCCGGGGTCTGTGGGTCAATGTGGATTGATTGTCGATTGAGTAAATAATCTCCATTTGATATTCAATAAAAGTGTAGAGTTAAAGGAGAGTAGTACCTGATATTCTAAGCTATTGAACGTCCTTTGGATGATTCTCTAGATGAATTCTCTTAAGACTTTTGACCTCGACAACTTATATTTACATTTATCAGAATGAATTGAGGATTGACGTGTACTTCTTATGGTAAATCGCTACTGCTCTCAGACTGGTAAAAGAACTTCGCGGGGCACGGATTTATCATTTATCAATTGCTCGAGCGTGAACCTATTTATATATACTCCCTCAGACCCCCCTTACTTCACAGTGAATGTTACCTACCTAGGTCATTTATCAATGAATGTCATCGCCATATCAAGATTACCAATCGTGAACGATATAGCAAATCAGAAAGTCCATTGCGCGACTATCCAAATGTTGCCGCGACATTCAGCCAATCAAAAGCACTTCCGCTGAGAATCATAGTCCCCGGCTAACGCATCCTACTGCACCCATTTTACAACATCTTGCTTTTATCATTTCTTTTTCGCAGGTGTTTGAACACGATAGGATAATACAAATCGGCTAATTCAGCCGCCACAAAAAGGAATGTTGTTAAAGGTGTACCTACCACCGTGTAGTCCTTCGGATAGTGGAAATATCTCCAGCAATACGTCAAGATTGCAGATGCTGAACCAATGAAACGACAAAACCTATTTGTCCTGATTAGTACAGAGAGAATGCCAAATCATCAACCATACGACTCACCAAATCTCAATAGAATGACCACTTGTATGACCTCTCTCCATCAACTGCGCAACTGAGGAAATTCCAAGAAACATCTGGAGAACAAACGCCGACCAAAACATCGCATCCATATCGTCGCCGTGAGTCTCCGCAAATGCCCAATGCAGAACCACCATCATTCCAACACCTCCCCCAAGAATCGCCTTCAAATTTTGAGATATCATGGGAGCATGATTCCACTGGTTTGGTCCAAATTTCATTGTAGTATACACAAGAAAGGCATCTATAATGAGCCAGGGAACGAAGACTAGGATTTGAGTCAGGGTGAATGGAAGGCGGAAACCATACACTATCTCCCATCCTATGTTTGCACAGCTATGACATTCTGTTAGTTGGAGCGATATGTGGGGCGAGTATGCTTACAGTGCGATAATAGGCATTCCATAAGATTCATCTCGATAGGCTTGTCGAATGTATAGAATATATGTAAAGGTCCAAAAGAGCCCCGTCGAAAGTATGAGAGTATCTTGGATTTGGAGGTAATAGAGAGGAGGTTGATTGATAGTATCAATAGCATTGAGAGGAAGATGGATCTTGAAAGTCATCTTGAAGATCACGATATAACCAGGAAATGATAGTGTCACAAATATCTATCAGTCCGTATTTGATTTCCCACTTTTGAGAAGCCTCAAAACATACGTTGCATCCGACGCATCGACCAATCAATCACTGTCAGGAATTCACTACAAATTGTGCTGCCTGGACTTAGTTATCCCTATTGGGGTATATCATTAACCACCAGATGAATACTGCCGGGAAATACAAGCAAATGTTACCTTTAAGAGAGGATTTCGCATCTGGCGCATTAAACAAATTGGAGAATTCATCCACAGTGTGTAACCTAATCAGCAGAATCATCACGTGATCTGACACGTAGATTTGTTTCTCGTGACTTCCATGCACCACATTTATATTTCATTCAAGTATCTCTGAAATTTCAATAACTTCGTCGCATATCCAACTTCTTATTGTTTGTTGATACGCATATTTCCATTAACCATGACCTCCTCCGAAGTCTCACTATTTTCAGACGACTTGATCTCTGAAGAATGTCAAAATACTCTCCCAGATGGCTATAAATTCCGTGCACTCCAACGCTCGGATTTTCATCGTGGATATCTAGGTGTTCTACGAGATTTGGCATATGTAGGGCCCATTACCGAAGAACAATGGGAAGAAAGATTTGATGCGATGAAGAAATGTGAGGGTACTTATTATGTGTTGGTGATTGTGAAGGAGAAGGGGGGTGAGGGTGACGGAGAGTTCATCATGGGGACTGGGACACTGGTTGTGGAAATGAAATTGTGAGTTTCTTTATCTTGGAAAGGTAATGAAAGGAGCGGAAGAGCTAATGTGTTATTGGTGAAGCCTTGGCAATTTGGGGCTACAAGGTCATGTGGAAGATGTGTGTATCTCGGCGGATCATCAGGGACAGCAGTTTGGAACAAAACTTATTAAGGCCTTGGATCACATTGCTTCCGAAAGAGGTTGTTATAAGGTGAGTTTATTGTATTCCATATCCAATCGTTGAAATGCATCATTAGCTGATCATATCACAGAGTATACTTGACTGTGGTGCTAAAAAGGTAGCCTTCTACGAAAAGTGTGGTTATGAAGGAAGAGGGTTTGAAATGCATCACTACCATGATCCTGAATCTGAGGCTGCATTGAACGGAGTTTGATTCCAATATATTTTTTAAGAGGCCTTATGAATGGCGTCTTAATGATCACTGGGTCTAGTAGCAGCGAGGAAAGTATCAAACGCTGTAAATAATGGTATCGGAATTCATTTTGCTCAACATCGCTGCATCCAACAATGTCTCTTTCAATAATTTTTTGTTCTTCCGAATCATTTCCACTTTTTCCTCGACAATGACTCAGGCAGTTGATCTAACAGATCGATTACATCTGTCCAAACATACGTATTTCGTCACAATGGACGAGACTTCTTTTATACTTTGCGGTTTTAAATCAAATGATGGTTATAGATATCTATTAACAGCTCTATTCTAAGATCATTTGCCCAGATCTCACCTCTGACATCTTACTGGAAAAAGCACATAGAAGCATTTTTCTGCACCTCCCAGACTCTAAAAATCTTAGCTTCATGAGGCATTACCTCCACAGTATACGGAACATCATAAAGGCCCTCTTTATGTTTCCACAGATCGCGAATTCGATAATGATCCCAAGTCATAAGAATATCCCGACGAGGACTAAAACTCATTTCCGCCGTGAAAGTTCCACGATTGAGTAATGCGATAGCGTAACTCCCATCCGCCAATTCTTTAGCATAAACTTGAAGATCTCCATCAGCTTCGTAGCCTACACCCACTGTTTGGGCTGATATTCCAAGCGGATCTTGATTTATCTCAATAACCTCTTGATTGGTGAGAGTTTGAAGTTCATAAGTGTCCAAAGTCCTCACGTCGGATCCAATGAGTAGAGGAGAAGCTACCATCGCCCACATACTGAAATGCGTCCGATACTCAATATTCGACGCCCCTGTTCCTACAAGTTGAGTTGAATTCCCATTGAGTCCAATGATTAACATATCATAATCATTCCAATGGCCTGGACCCGAATATTGCACCAAGTCATTCCCTCGATCAATCATATCTAACACGTCGAAATAGTACTTTTCCCGATTTCCGGGATAGTTGAACTCATCAGAAATATCTTGACCAATGCGCCATTGATTTGCTCCTTCATCGGCGGCCCATTCCCAGATATCGGCCCAACCGCAATGACATGCGTGGTAGACGATTGGGCGATCAGTTGCCAAAAGTGCTTTGGACATTTTCAATACAATTTCTTGGACCACGGATTTGGGAGCATCTCCATGGGAACAACAACTATGGTCATTAGAGAATTTTCAAAGATGCACTGGAAAGGGGAAACAGCCTACCTATCATATTTCAAATGGTCAATCCCCCAACTAGCAAACATATCTGCATCTTCTTCCTCATGTCCAAGACTCCCTGTATACCCAGCACAAGTCTCATCACCCGGACCGGAATAGATACCTAATTTAAATCCTCGTTCATGCGCATAGTCGGCTACAGCTTTAATTCCATTTGGAAATTTGGCGGGGTCGGCTTCGAGAGGATGGGCAGATCTAGGTCCCTTGTATCGCTGCCAGCCATCATCTAAATTCACATAGATAAATCCAGCATCCTTTAGACCGTTGGAGATCATGGCATCAATGGTTGACTTGATGAGGTTTTCGTCAATCAAATCACCGAATTGATTCCAGGAGCTCCAGCCCATGGGAGGGGTGAGAGCGAGACTATTGTTCAGGGGTGGGGAAACTGGGGGATCAGGACCTGGTGAGCATTCTTGGGCGGTTGGAGAGGTTGTTGTTGAGGTTTGAGAAGATAAAGATGTGCTTAGAGCGAGAACGTGGATGAGAGATGCTGTGTGTGAAAACCATGGAATGGCGAGTTTCGCGAGAAAATGCATTGCGATTATTTTGTCTTCTCACTCTGAATGATATCCAGGTACAATTGTTTCACGACTATATGAAGAATTCTATTTCTCTCTTTCAATTCATTCTATTAATCTACCTCTCTCGATACAAGACTACTCATATACAAAGCAGAGGCAGAAGAATACAGCTCGTATGGATCATACCTAAGAAAAACACGAATGCTTTTTACAAATTAAAACATCTACCCCGCAATCCTTCTCACATCGTACAGCATATCAAAGTAGCAGCCAAGAGCACTCTCTATACAATGGCTAGCTGTCCCTTCTCCAAACATGCAACTTTAGTACTCCGCACTTGCGGCTGAATATCCGCATGCATTTTGGCTGCAGAAAAATCGATACCAAGAATATCACCGACTGCAAGTCGTTGTATCAATAGTAAAAACAAATTGTAACGTCAAGCTTTCATACCGTGTGGGCCGCTCGTAACGTATCATTGAATATATATTTGAGGGAATTGAGTTTAGCTTCTGATGTATACATAAAAGTTCAATCTGAACCAAGCTCCGCTCTTAGATATACTACCTATATATGTAGAAGCGGTGATAATGATAAGTAAACGTTCTGAAGACATACCCGCCTTGTTCTATTCGTCAAGACATGCTGCTGACTCAGACTGAACGCAACCATGTACCCCGACTTCGGTACATGACTTCAAACAAGGCCAATTCATTACTGAACTACCATTCCAACGTCGTCAAGTTACCTATCTACCTTCCTAATTCAGTTGTCCTTTCCGTGATGTCTATCTAGAGTTGTCGGTTTGCCGGGAGTGCCAAGATCGCGGGGATTGCACCCACCCCCATTTTGGTAATCTGATATCATATCATAACGTCGCATCCCGTATCTGCAGAAGTATGAGTTGCAGCTTATCATCGATAAGTATCTATGGATGCATTGATCTCTTCTGCTTTCGCAAGCGCGATAAGGATTGAAGATTTAATGAAGGGTTTCCTCAAGATCTTCATACGATATAGCATGATTCCAACGGGTGTGTTTGAGGATACACAGTGGGTGACGATTTACGAATATTGGATATCGGATATTGCGCATTAGACAACAATATCTTTCGGGATCAGTTTCACATTCTAAGGATACTAGTTTGATCTTGAAGTCTCTCATCTCCTCCTCATAATCCATCCAGGAATCAAGATGCGGAAATCAGAAGACATGACCACAAAACCACATCTCCAAGATGTATCCCTCCCCATCGACCCCCCGCATCTCCCTAACAAACAAACGCACCTCGATGCGCAAACTGCGACGGAAATCGAGCATTCCATGTCTTTTCGCGATGCGCTTCGTCTCTACCCCGCTGCGATAGCTTGGTCTGCATTTTTCTCTCTCGGAATAATCATGACGGCTTTTGATCCCCAATTACTGGGAAGTTTATATGCGACACCTGCTTTCCAAAAGGATTTTGGATATAAATACAAAGGAGATTATATCGTGAGCGCGCAATGGCAGACGGCGTTGGGCATGGGAAATCCGATTGGACAGGTGGTGGGAGCGTTACTTATTGGGTATCCGATGGAGTGGTACGGAAGGAAATGGGTGGGTTTTCGAAATAATTACAGCTGCGAAGGATTTGACGTGCGCTCGAAGCTAACTTGGTATTGGTAGACATATATGGCATGTGTATCCGGTACTGCAGCATTTATCTTCGTGCAGTTCTTCGCGCGGTCTCTCCCTGTTCTTCTCGTGGGTGAACTTATCGGCGGTCTCATCCTAGGCACATATACTACCATTGCCCCAACCTACGCATCGGAGGTATGTCCCATAGCACTTCGCGGTCATCTAACTTCATATGTCAATCTTTGTTTCGTGATGGGTCAACTCATTGCAAATGGGGTTATTGCTGGAACGTCTCGTCTCGATAATCATTGGGCATATAGTGCTCCATTTGCAATTCAATGGCTCTGGCCCATTATCATTTTGATTGGTATCCCTTTCGCGCCCGAATCGCCTTGGTGGTTGGTCAGGAATGACAGACTTGAAGAAGCAGAGAAATCGCTGGATAGGCTGTCATCGAAGGAAGTTAATAATAAACTTGTTCTGGCGATGATGATTGAGACGGATAGGTTGGAGTTGGAAATGGAGACGGGAACAACTTATTGGGATGTTTTTAATAAGACTAATATTAGGAGAACGGAGATCGCAATTGCGGTTTTTGTGACGCAGGTTTTCAGTGGAATTTACTTAGTGGGCTATGCGGCCTATTTCTTTCAACGTAAGTCTTCTTTGCTCTGGTGTTGTATTCTGATTCTTCCTTGAGAATATTCAAGATCTTTTCTAGAAAGTACATCCGTTCTTGCTACTGGGGTACTCCATGAAGAACCAAAGGATAATCTACTAATTCACTGTTATAGTTGCTGGTCTGGCTGGATCAAAAGCATTTGATATGAGCGTCGGGTTTCTAGCCGTTGGCTTTGTAGGAACCCTTTTGTCATGGATTTTGATATCAAAATTCGGTCGACGACGCATCTACAACGTCGGACTCGCGTTACTCACAACCATTATGTTTCTTATTGGGATTCTGGATTGTGTACCAAATTACGTGAATCGTCCAGGTGTCATCTGGGCACAATCGACCCTCATGATCGTTTGGAATGGTATTTTCGATCTTAGTGTTGGGCCCGTTTGCTACACGATTTTTTGTGAGGTATCAGCGACTAAAGTTCGTTCGAAAACTATTGCTGTGGCTACGGCAATGCAAGCACTTGTTGGGATAGTCATGACAGTTGCTATTCCTTATATGATTAATCCGGATCAAGCAAATTGGAGAGGAAAGATCGGATTTTTCTATGGTGAGTCGAATATTTTGTTTTATCAATTTTCACAACAGAGGAAAACACCGATTGGTGGAGGTATTGGTTACAATTATTCACAACGATAATAAATATCGAAAAGAGTATAGTGACTGATGATTAGATAGGTGGTTGTTCGGTATTTTGTCTTATCTGGTGTTGGCTCAGAGTTCCAGAAACCAAAGGAAGGACGTATGAAGAATTGGACCTGATGTTCGCAAGAGGTGTCAAGACGAGAGACTTCAAACATTACAAGATTGTGTAATGTATATCCACTCCAGTTTGACCTGTTGAAGGAATTAAAAATAGCACTTTTACTTACAGATATACTGGTTTCGTCTAACGTTTCGTTCTCATTTTCACCACTGTACCTTTTGATGCATCATCTTGTGCATGGTTGATGACAGTGAACTTATTTCAATTATGTTTATCTTCAGTGATTGCATTGAAGAGCTGCTTGCATTAACCCTACAACTTATGAATCGTTCCAATTTCTGGAGAACCCAAGTTTTGTGATCTTCACAATCCCAAGACACAATGATTTGATTTTGCAATGAAAGTTGAAACCCCAGGAATCGGCAAAGAAAGGTTGAGCGATTTAATGCAAAATCCATCCAATTAGCTCGTCGACACGACACGACACAACACGCACGACACAGCACGATAAATCAAATTGACATCATTTGTGTCGGTCAATCCGTCTGTCGGTATTTTGAGTCAAATCCTGCCAAATTTTGTCATTCCTGTCAAGCCTGTCATTCTCGTCATTCTCGCAAGTCGTCGTCATCTGTTCCGGGAGTCCGGAGTATTGATGGGCGATGATGTTCCAAGTTTTTGAGATTTATCGATACCCAGGTCCAATTACCTACTACGTAGATGGAAAGGTAATCTTGAAGGTAAGAAAAGTAAGGTTATTCCGAGTTTGGTCCACCAATCTTCGTGTAAATGTGAAGATTTACTACTTCGAACTATGAGTTGTGATCTTATCTAGGCGTAATACTAAAGTAAGTTGCAACGGCAGATGAGAGGAAAAGAAAAAGATAACCAAGGCCGTTGCAACCCGAGATCTGAAAAGGTTAGAGCCTCAGGTCTATCTACAGTATTAGTAATCAACGACGTCCATATCGGTGCTAAAACAAGCCTTTTCCGAGCACCGGGACTATGTCACGTTCTTCTGAAGGGCAACGATTGGTCATGAATGTTATTAAGTTTTTCGTCGTGTTTTCTAGCGTGTCGTATCATTTCTAATCTCACATCCTCAGATGAATATCTTATGCTGCTAATGAAAGGCTAATAAATAATGCCTTGGCAAGCCTTACCTATGGCCAAGGCATTACCACGATGAAATTTTATACTGCGGAATTAAGCACAAAATATAATCTATACGGAGCTTTCTTTCACACTATGATCCCGGGAGGAAACACCCACGCTTTACCTCAATGGTTTCTCTTCCCCCCTTCATCACGCATCGACTTCGATTCCGATGATTCCCCCAAATGAGGGGGGGGATTACAATCACTCGAGCCACTCGAGCCACTCGAGCCACTGCGGATATCGCGTCAAGGCAGCGAGGGGTTGGGAAAATATGAGACCATTTTCATCTACTCTACCCCATAGAGAGATATGCTTATGTCTCAAAGATAGATGATCACATCGGTTTACCAATTCCGGATTTCGTCTCGGTTTTCTTATCTACGGATTACGAATACAGTGCGTGCTTGGTATTTTATTCTTACTTTCGCCTCAATGAACTGAGAGGAAAGGAGTGGATACAAGACGGTGAATGGATGGAAAATACACCTCCAACCACTTAAGGTTACTTTCGTCTAAAGGCGGCCCGAAGAGGCTGCGGGAGTTGTCGAATAAAGCTACTGACTCGCATGATCTGCAACGTAAGGCGGAATCAGTCAGGTACAAGCTTGAAATTTTAATTCATTCGAATTTCCAGCATCAATTTACTCCAGGTTTTGATGTTGGAGAAGAGAGAAGTCAAACGTGGTGACTTTGGGACATCGTGTCGATTACTTGCATCAGTGATCAAGTCCAATCCAACTCATATTGTTGGCAAGATTCAAATTTTCAAGGTTTGGCATGCAATACCACGCACTACCCCAGATTCAATACCCTGAATTAGTCAAAACGTACATGGTCAATACCGAGATCACACTGAAATATTATCAAAATATGGCGATTTCATGGAGACCGTTGTTCACGTCGCCTCGCCAAAACATAATAGTTACTTTTTAGTGGAGTCACAAAGGAACAAATGGTCCACTGTCACTGATGAAACTCCATATAAAAGAATTTTACTTACGTCTTAGGAACCACCTCCCAACATGGTCTTACCATTCGCACTGACGTTCCCCTCATTGAACTTACTTGAATTCAATAGAAATTGATTGTCAATCTTTAGCTTATCTCGGTGTCGAGCGTGTCTAACCCCGTCCAAAAACCCTACATATTTTCGTCTCGTGTCCACATCTTGGTGTTATTCTGCCATTTTCAACACTCAGCTACTCCTTCCTCAACTGACAGCCTCAATCCTTTATTCTTGTTCCAACGTCCGTCATTAGCATCCGAAATCGACAGCAACGTCTCTCAACTGTTGAGAAAAGACCAAAAACAAAAATTTGCGGAGAATACTAACAATTTTCAAATATGGATCCTGAAAAGGCAACTTCGGATAAAGCTACCAAAGACGATATCACAGCTGCCAACAATGTTCGCGGTAACATCAGGGCGGATGATCAGTCCTCCGACATGAAGGTAGCAGAGGTACTCGATGCTTTCGGAAATGAGGAAGGCGCAGAGGTTCAATGTAAGCTTTTTTACTTATTGGCGAAAGAACTAGCTGACAGTATCTCCAGACAAAACCATGACTTGGTGGCAAGGAGCAATCGTTATGATTGCTGAAAATATCTCACTTGGTATCCTTTCTTTACCAGCTGTTTTGGCCAAGGTTGGTCTCATTGGTGGTCTCATCTCCATTCTCGCTCTCGGTGTTTTCACTACATATTCTGGTTACGTCTTGTGGCAATTCAAAATGCGATATCCTCAGGTAAGTTAGGTTCTAGGAGTGGTCTCTAGATATTTCCAGTTTCTAATCAATTTCTTAGGTTACGTCTTATGTAGACATTGGTGGAATCTTGATGGGAACCTGGGGAAGAGAGATCCTCGGTGTTGCTTACGTCATTAACTGCATATTCTACATGGCATCGCATCTTTTGACTTTCACCATTGCCATGAATGTTCTCACGAACCATGCAACTTGTACCATTATATGGGGTGTTGTTGGATTGGCTGTTTTCAGTTTCCTATCCTTGAACAGAACTCTCAAAAATGTGTCGTTCTTGTCCATTATTTGTAAGTTTTGCCAAGTCAGCTGTTACCGAACGCGCTAACAGTTGCAATAGCGTTTACCAGTATTTTTTCCGCTGTCATCCTCACTATGGTCGCCTTAGGTGTTTCGCCAAAAGCCGACGCCGCAGACATGAAAGGAACTTACAGCCCAACTTTCCCAACCGCTTTCAACAGTATTTCCAACGTCGTTTTCGCATACGGTGGTCACATTGCCTGGGTCAGCTTCATTGCTGAACTCCGCGATCCAAAGGACTTCCCAAAATCTCTCGTCCTTCTTCAAACTGTCGATATCAGTCTTTACTTGGTCGCTGCTCTCGTCATTTACAGATATGCTGGTGAAGATGTCGCAAGTCCAGCTCTTAACAGCAACAGTCCTATTGTTCGCAAGGTTGCATGGGGAATTGCTTTACCAACCATTGTTATTGCAGGAGTTATCTTCGCTCACGTCACTATCAAATACATTTACATTCGACTCTTCTCCGGAACCAAACACTTAAACAGTCGAGGATTGGTCTCTACCGGAACTTGGGTCGCTCTCGCTTTCGGAACATGGACTGTCGCGTGGATTATTGCCGAATCCATTCCCGTCTTCTCCGATCTCCTCGGTTTCATTTCTGCTCTTTTTGCGTCTTGGTTTTCTTACGGTCTCCCTGGTATCTGCTGGTTTTATATCAACTGGGGATCATGCATGCAAGGCTCCAAGCAAATCTTCTTGAGTTTCGTTAATATTGTCTTGATTATTATAGCGTGCATTGTGTGTTTTGCGGGTTTATACGCTAGCGGTTATTCCATGAACTTGGACACTGCTACTTCTCACGGTGCTTGGTCTTGCGCGGATAACCAACATTAATTGGTCATCTTGGGGTTATGTTGTAGCATTTGCATTGCATTGCGTTGCGAGGTCTTCTTGATTTGGGAAAAGCAAGCGAAAAGCGAAAGACAAAAGCATAAAGCAAAAAAGCACGATACCCAATAGGGAATTTCATATTGATGGAGGCTTTTTTAATGATATCGAATTCCGGTTTATATGATATGGGCAATTAGGTGTCTTAGGCGCGTATGTACTTTGGGAGTACGAATTTTGGGATGGGGGGCATTCTCACTTGATTGAATGATGGACGAATGGGGTCGAGCTGGATATGAATGACCGGCCTTTTTTGTATATTATCGGGTAATGGTGTGATGAGAAATATGGTGTGATGATTAAATTATATAAATGGAATTGAGATTGATTCATCTGAAGGGTTCTTGAGCAGTTTTTATGTTGTGAATAAATGGTGAATTTGTGAGGCTGAGAAGATATGGATGTGAGGATCTATTAATGAAGTTCCTAGTATCAAAAGCAGAAAACATACACTCTCCTCGATGAGGTGAGATGAGATGAGAACTACAATTCTCTAGCTGGCGAGAGCAGCACTCGTCGCACACAGCAGCTGCATCATTCCCCTCTTTACGACCTCGAAGGATTGGAGAAGGAGAGCAGAAAGCATATCACGAAGAGAATGAATGGATACACTTAATAGCACGGAAACAACTTGTTCGAGGATCTGAATAACTTTGAAGGATTTCACTCGTGCATAGGTGTTCCTACATGTCCATGGGTGTACACTACGGAGTACGGAGTACGGAGATGATAACATTATTACCCTGATAGGTAGGTAGGTACAGTACATATAATCAGTATGGGGATTCTACTCGTATCTGGATTATCTTTCTGCCTTCCTCCCTCCCTTCCTCCGGCACTATACATAGCATACCCCATACACACCATACCCACCCGATACATCATCCATACCACTTTACTCCAAACTCCAAATTCCAAACTCCAAACCCCATACAGTAGCTCCTAACCACACCCCCCATCCCCAAGTCCCGATCCTCGCATCCCTGCGTCGTGATATGTATGTACCTAATAGAAAATTCCTAGCGTCATCTCCGCTCCCTCCCCCATCTATCTCGTGATGCTCGTTATCCCACTCTATGCCGCTGTCATGTACTTTTCTCCGAGTACCGGGAGGTTTTTATTGTGTATCTGGGGACTGGAGATGTTCAATGTACGCTAGTGAATAATGATTGTTAGGGTATCTGTGAGGTTTAAGTGTGGAATAAAAGATGTAGAATTAGAATGGTGCCAAGGGCCAAGATATTGGCCCAGGATTAGCTAATCTAAGCTAAGCTAGTTTAGTAACTACACGTGATAAAGGTATAACAGTATCCGAGGGTGGGTGATCCACTTGCTGTAGGATACTGTGAATGTGGGGATATATATGTTGCGATAGGCCAGCCGATTATATACAAATCAATCAGGTCGCTTAGCTCAGTTGGTTAGAGCGTGGTGCTAATATCTCATCTGATTCATCAGTAAGGTCAAAAAACGCCAAGGTCGGCGGTTCGACCCCGCCAGTGATCATTTTTTGCTCTTTTTTTCTTTTGCTTTTTCGAGTTCGGGTTATGGGGGATGAATATGTTGTGTATTATGTATGTATATGTATATGTATCTGTGTAGAATGGGGTAGGTAGATGGGAGGAAGAGGATTTGTATAGAGAGACTACATGTATGTATGTACATGTTGATTGATGTACGTTGGTTGCTTTTCGGTGATAGGAATATTACTACTGTATGGATAGACTCAGAATATATATGTGAACTTTCGAATTGCTTTTTGGAGAGAGAGTTTTAGACTCGGCTGTGAGTTGGTTAAATGGATGGTTTGGAAGGAGATTTTATAATGTTATATATAGGGCGCCATTTCGGTGGTGATGGAAACTTATTACTTCTTAGATAGGGGGTTTTTTGTGCAGGATGAAATATTTCCTTTTGAAATTTGATGTCCGTTAGAGATGGGGATGAGGGAGGGAGTTGGGTGCTCTGGATCGATGTGGTGAAATTCTGGTTTTACGAGGGAGGGGGCTTTGGGCTGTGCTAACACAGCTTCATTGGTTATTTTAGATATCATGTTTTTTTGTATTGTATGTATGGTAAATGACAATTTTGACGACTACATGATTCCTCATGAACTTTCTATTTTGTAAGTGTTTTATAAACTCTCAAATCAAATTTATTTCTATACCAATCTCTGCTTTGATTCGTATGTCATGGGAAATTTCTGTCGTTAATGGATAGATAGTCCTTACATTTCTGCCACTGAAAATCTACTGGTGGTGTTGTGAAGAGAGAATGAGAGAAAGAGAAAAATCTGATTGTTTGAATTGTGATTTCAGATAAACTAATTATGTTTGTATACCTGGTGGCCACCTGACAATCATTCGAGAGTAGATGTGTTCAATTAATGAGGTCAGACTAAATTCATCCATTGCCGCGCTTCGGATTGAAACAGCTTTCTCGAGTCTTCAACTGTGTTCAATCTGTAAAATCCTATTCGGCGATAATGGTTGCTACCTGACTCCACAGCAGGTTGTAGAATTAAGCCGGAGATTGGTTTAGCCTGGGCACCGAGTTTACAAAAGTTCAAGAGCCAGAGGTCTTCACTGCCGGTAGCACAATTGTCTGTTATTTCGGCATGCTCTAGATCATATTCATGGTCCATGACCGAAAATTTGACGCTCATGGGATACAACTTCTTCCATATGAGCTTACCGGGGCCTTTTGAGAATGCATGAAGGCGAAGTATTGGGGATTGAGAGTCGGTTGCAGGTAGGTGCTCGTGATTACATTGATGGGAGAGCTCTTGGTCTGTATTCAGAACTTCGGAGTCTTCCATGTGGAAAATCTCTTGGTAGAATGAGAGGTGTTGGTGAGAACACCATGACCAAGAGGGCCAGCTTGAGTCTAGGGATGAGTTTCCGAGAGGTATCCACATCAAGCTTTACTTCATATTAGCCCTGAGGGTAAGAGAAGGAGTTGAAAACTCCGACGTCGACCTGAATAGACCGGAACAAAAATGAGAAATAAAAATGATATTTGTGGTACTTATTTCAGATTTCGAGCACTGATCTGAAAGGGATAGTTCAGTGCAAGTATTACTTACCATCTAGGAAGGTCCTCGAGAAATGTGCCATAAACATTTTTATGAAATCCAAGGCGATTCTGAAACAAAGCAGAGCAAGCTGCAAAAGCAGCTGCTTTATCTGAAGAGTATGATAAGTTGCGCTGACAGTACTGGTCCACCAGATTGTAGTAAAGCCGTACAAGTGCGTCGAAACTAAGATCATTGGAATTGAGTGCAGTCGGATTTCCAAGCCGTCGGGTTTTTATGAAGCCAGCTTCTACTCGTAAGCCTGCGAGGTCATTCTCTGTAAGTTCTTGCTCAGGGCTTGTCTCCATAAAAAATCCCTTTCCACACTCGAAATACATCCTTCCACAGGTAAAATGTAGAATACGGGGAGAAAGAACACGTTCTTGTAAAGTCCACGCCCTGGTATTCCAGATACTTCTCTGATGAATGTCCCACGTCCAATCAATGGGAAATTTGTTCTGCGACCTGTACAGATCTTGACTGAACAGAATGTAGGTTCCAGGCTCGCTATTCATCGGGTAGAAAGGCAGTTTGACTGCTGGCTGTAACGAGGGATAAGGAGGTAGGAAGCCGGATTTACTATTGATACCAGATGTAGCGCAGATACATAACGCCGCGTTCCCGTAAACATCACCCATACGTGCGATTTCTATGGATTTATCGGGAATGGAGTCTTGAAGAATGCAAATAGAATCGATCCACAGATACTGAAATCCCATATCACGAGTAGCAATGACGGCATCCCTAAAAGTGGCGGGCAAATCTTCCAAGGGCATACCCTCCATTCGAGACGACACAGTTGATGTTTGACTCGTATATTGAGCTTCAAATGGGTGTTCTTTGGATATTCCCCAGCAGTGGCTCAGGGTCACATATTTATCGATAATACCATTACCCATGACAAGCTTAGGAGGCGAGCTTTTAACATCGATAACTCTTGTGGGAAGGATACTGGGTGTCGTGCCTCGACAAGTATCATGCTTATCGCACATTTTCAACCACATCTGTGCAATGCTGATAGCTTCATAATTCCATGTTCGTGATCCAGGACGAACCAGGAAGCACTTCGAAGCAGTGTTTCCACCGTCGCCTACTCGAGTTAGTGATCCAGTCGCCCACGGAATCGAATCTTACCATATTCTGCGTACACAACAAAACTCGCGTCAGTTTCCCAAGCTCCATCCACTTTAAATGTGAGGTTGTTATAAACTGGCAGTTCCAACTGACATCCATACTTTGCGGAAATATTCACTTCTGAGAAGCGTTAGCACGGTGAGCAATTACCACACAAGCAAGATTAATATAGATTTTTACCCCCATTCTTTGAGAATCGGCTTTCTGCGAACTTGTGGAGGAGAACATCTCTCAACACTCCGCAGAGGCTGCAACCATTACTAAACGAGGCCAAAAGACCTGGGAAGTAAGGCGTTGTATCTTTTTGGTGGTATGGCACTTCAATCTGATACACCCAATCTTCACTACGTCCGGGTAAGCCACGGTCAACACAGAATTTCTGGCACTGTCTGCAAGTAGTATTGACTAAAGCCATGTTTTCATTGGATGCTGCTTTCAGGAATCTGCACTTGCCGCTGAGATGAAGAATTGGAGATTTTGAAGAGGGAAGGCCGGGGTGTAAAGGTACGGGTAAGCTCGCTTGAACAGCCAATGATGCCAAATCCCTGCTGTCTCCGTGAGCGAGTGTAGGGAGAATATGAATGAGAGTAGTACAGTGTTACTATCTCTTGAGAATCATATCAAGATCCTGGACAGTATGAGTACTTTGAACGATATCGACGGAGAAAGTGCCCGTAACCAGAACTATCAGTGCGACAGAAGCTGAAACATATGGGTTTTGTAGGCGCTGCGTTACTTCTCGGTGCAATGACCTGTCTATTGCTGGCACTGAAGGATGGCGGCATATTTTCACCATGGTCGAACCCAAAGAACTGGGGATGTCTTCTCGGCTTTGGGATCTTGATACTCTGTTTCCTCGCCGTCGAATTTGAACTAAAAGATGGGTATGTCCTAAAATTTCAGCTCATTCTATTTATATGATACTAATATACTACACTAGAGCTATAATCCCGTTCCGAATTGCATCTCAGCGTACAGTCGCAGCAAGTTGTTTGTTTACAGTTCTGTTCAACATGGCTATAGACACCCACATCTATTATCTACCTACATATTTCCAAGCCATGCGTGGGACTACCGCAGAACAATCAGGCATCAGAATGTTACCCTATCTAGGATCCAATATTCTTGCCACAATCGTGAGTGGGCTGTTCAAATAGTGCTTCCTACTGAAGACGCACCTATTGGGAACTCATCGCCAGTCTTTTCTCAAGCCTTGGATGGCGCGTTAGCAATTGGCATTGCTCAGAACATACCAACTAATACGCTTTCCCAAGAAGTGAAAATGATTCCTGGCTTAGATAGCTCCGAAATCATCGCGCTAGGCGCTAAGAATTTGACAAGTACCGCGCCGACAGAGTACCTTAATGGAGTTCTAGGTGCATATACTTATGCATTGTCTCAAACTCTTATTCTTCCTATTGCAGCTGCTGGTATGGCATTCGTATGTAGCCTTGGAATGGAATGGGGAAAGGTGGAGAAAAAATAGAAATGTAGATCAGCCACGAGTCATCCATGTAGCTAGTGATCAACCAGGTCTCTCTAATTGCAGTATCTAATTGTAATATTCAAGACAAATCTAGATTTAGAAAGGTATCAAAAACTTTCCAAACCATTGCCAATCATCCCCGAGGTAGGACTCAAGTTTCCAATCCCGACATTTATCCAAACTTTTCTTTTAAGTGTAAATCGTCTCAGTCAAAGCATTGAAACTCAACCCCTCCTTCGCAAAATCGACCCCATCCATGAACAATAGCGGCATCTCAACTAGCATACCCTTAACCCTGCTCAACTCCTCTTTAACCTCCTCCACGCCCCCTGGGAATTCTTCCTTTACAACATGTCCATAAAGATATCTCGCAGGCTCTTTATCTTCTTCCTTGGTATCCTTATCACTAGGCGATACAAAATACTGTTCGTAAAATTCATGGTAATCATCCCAGTTCCTCACATTATCTGCCGGGATGGAATGGAAAACTTTCGAATAAACTTCTGTGTTAGTTCTCGCACGACCATTCCATAGATCTGTGAATTCGGGAGAGAACACATCTTGGACAGCGATATCATAGTCGGAGCCCCAGTCGTAATCGTTGGGATCTTTGTTGATGGGCATATAGTTTGCATCAGGTCTGGTCCAATCTTGTGGTGCGATCATGCCGAGATGTTTTCGGAAAAGTTGTCTACGGAGAGAGGTGGCATATTTTGCGGCTCGGAACTCGCGACCGTTCATGTATGAATCAACGGTCTCGGTGTCTTCGATTACGATTGCGATTTCAGAATCGTGAGTGCCGAGCTGGGAGCGATCATTGAGGTTAGCCGAACCACAGATTACAACACGATCATCGGCGATGAGAAGTTTGGTGTGGATATAAAGTTCCTCGGTGACGAAGGCATCGAGCTCAGCTTCGGGGGAACCATTCCAAGGAATGGATGTAATAGATGGACCATCTTCCAAATAGCATGCTGCTACTGTGTCATGTTCTTGGGAACGAGGGGCAGCTCTTTGGTATTGGTCATACTCGTAATTTTCTTGGCCCCTACGAGCACCAGTGTCTTCACCGTAACCGCCATATCCAGCACCAACGATATCATCGTGCTCTTTTCTAGCACTTTCATAACTGACGCCACTTTCTTCTTCGGTTCTAGCCATCGTACCGTTATCGTTAAGTCTATCATAGTTTCTCAAATTGTAGAATCGGATGTAATCCTTTGGATCGGGTACTCCGGCATTAGCAACTGTTTCCATAATTGAGTTACCGCCGCGACAGATTGAATTATATTGATACTCCATAATTGCACGAGTTCCCAAAGCATCATCTGCATGGAGATCGCCTGCAAAAGCTGGGACTGCTGGCATACAAACAATAACTTTATATTGTTCGCCATTTTGATAAGCACGAATGATTCTGTCTGCGATCGCCGCTCCGATCTTATTTTCAACAGGATGTTGCTCATCGGAACAGGCGGTGATAAAGAACTGGTTTTCGATGTAGATGAAATGTTGACTTCGTTGAATAACCTCAATGTAGGCATTGGCGATTGAGTGCTATCTAGATTAGTATCCTGCGGCATGATTTTTGGAACGACAGAATTACCTCAGTGGCTACACCATTGCTCCACTCAGTACAACTTCTTACAAGTTGGATAGAAACGCCGCTTTGATCATCCCTATACCCTGAATTGCCTCCCGATCTGCCAAAAAATGTACCCGCTCGACGGAATGTATCGGAGATTGCACCCTCGGTAGATGAACCGACATTTGTACCATCTTCGTTATAATATCCATCAGGAATATCATTAGGAATCAAGGACAATGCTGTGTATCTTGTATCTTGAGTGTCGTATTTCTCTCGGAAAATAAAATTCCATCTTTGAACAAAATGAGCTCGGAGATCCTCGACTTTGAAGTGTTAGCCATTCAAATTTGGGAGTATAGTAGGGGGGAGTATCTCTAATTAACCTACCAACTGGTCCTGTCAACGACATTGATAGATCCTACAACAACAATTAGATTTCATTGTCTGACAACTCGTTGAGTATTTCCAAGATACATACCGACCATCCCATTCTAGAGTACTTCGTACGATCAAGCTTATTCTCTTGCCAATTTGCAACATCCTGGAAGTCATACACTCTTGCGTTATTGAAATCTTGACCTGGGAAAACAATATTGTCTAGGTCACTTGGGTGTGCATCAGCAATTGGATGCTGATTCACATCCCATCTACCAAAGCACAAATCTAGACCACCCATGAAAGCGACCTTGCTATCAACTAGACAAAGCTTTTCGTGATGTGCCCAGTAAAGAATAACATCATTTCGGGCTCCATATAAAGCTTCAATGCCCTCTTTAGGAAGTTGTGCAAGATCAAAGTCTCGCAAACTGAAATTCTTCAAGTCGGTAATAAGTTCCGATTCGACGTGAATACCGCTTGGAACATGATCCGGATGTCGGAATACCGAAATGTTAGGATGAACCTCTAAAGCCTTCTTGGTGTGCTCAGAGCATACTGACATCGGGGTTAGTCCACGTGATATGTGGCCAGAAATGAGGATTAAACGTACATGTCAAGACCTTAGTAACCTCTTTGTAAATAATGATGTTAACTTTGACGCCTCTCTCAGCAGCAGCCAAAAGCATACGGTCGATTCTATATTCCTCGTTTGCTGATGGGGGTCTTCTCAAATAAAGCTCAGGGGTAAGCCACCAATCCAGAATCCAGATACTTTCCTGTGCCTCTTCCAAAGCGACAGATACAGCCCACATATATGCACACCCGTCGATATGCCATTTAATATCATGGCCAGTTCTTGGAGGAGCGAAACTGCCAAATCTATTCTCATTTCCATTTATATGAAGTGCATGGCATGCCTCTCCGATATGAGTGTGGCTGTGTTTCTCGCCGTCTGAGATTCCTGCAACCTTCGACACCTCTGACTCGACTTCATGTACAAAGTCGCCGATGGCAGCTTTGGCTTCGTGGAAAAAATGAGACATTCTGAGAGATATTTTGGAATAGATGTTGAATTGAAAGATCTTTGAGGGAGAGTTTTGTTTATGTATCTAGATACGAGTGTATTCGTAGCTATAGTGGGGTGGTTTGGGGGGCTGGTGGAGTGATTTTGGTGGGGAAGCTCTGAGGCTGTAACTCATGGGATTGGTGAATGTTCACCGTTAATATCGGCGACAATGCTGTGAGTGAATTTAATCGTAAGAAGTCTTTACTAATGTTTATCAAATTGTGGAGTTGCGTGTTATATACGAAGTAGTTGTTAAGATATCATGGAGACTCATCAGTGGAGATAGGATAGTCTGTGTTTTGACCGGTACTCTCTCTGTTTCATGTGTAACTTTCGGCTGATGTGAGACGTTACGGTGTAGACCCTGCAGCTGGGAAATGTCCATGTCTGTGCATTCATTGGCATGGCATGATATAGGGCTCAAGAAGCTTTTTGCCTTATCCGTATGATTGGCTCAAGTGGGACATTACCCAGGAAAAGTATATTCTTGGCTGCTGCATGACAGCTCAGCTGGAGAATCGTTGGCTGGAACTCACAAGCTTCCCTTACATATCTATCAAAAGACAGTCGATCTAACATCGATCAAAGTCCGGATGGACCCAGCCCCCATAGGCACGCGTACGAACAGCGTCAATACTGCGTTTACACGAGGAACCAATCTGCGCCGCGATGTTCTGGTGATATACCAATACATCTGGATTTTTGTATGAAGAGTTCTCGTCTGTAGAACTGACGATTCGTAGAGTTCCGAATATAAATATGTCGTTACCAGAGTTTGGATTTTTTGGATACCATATTCTCAATCCTGGGGGTTCATTGGCCTTCAAAGAAGACGGAGTAATATCACTATTATAGTCGAGTAAACTTTAGCAAACACCTCATACTCAAATGTGCCCTGGGAGTAGATCAACAACAGATAAACACAAAATGCCAAAGTCGATGTGAAATATAATTGGAGAGTTGGATGGAAGGAGAGGAAAGCCCAGCTTTAGTTCGCTTATAGGCACGTACCTGCCTGTGTTGGAGAATATGCTAGCGTGTTTTGTTTTTCTTGCAATCGCACCTCAGAATTAACAATTGCCAAACTCGAGAACACTACATAAAAGCGAAGATCTGTTCGATGACTTCACATTGGTACAATTGGATGAGACTCTTAAGTCTTCACTAAATCTCTAGACAACGATCTATACCCTCAATTTTTCTACTGGATATCACGACACCGATTTATGGGGTGGCAATGTATGCATCATACTTTGCTTTTTCAACACTCCAGCAGCAAGAAGGGCAACAAGATTGGGATGAACATAGTTATCCTTCTATCTGCTCATATGTGATTCAGCACATCATCCTATCATAGCATCTGCCTCAAAGTCTTCACGACTTCTTAATGGCATCGGAAGCTCTCTCAGCCATAGCATACACAGTCACTTGTAAATGCGCACTCTGTATCATTGGAAAAGTACCCGCATCAACTACTCTCAAGTTATTGACCCCATATACCTTGTAATTGGAATCCACAACTCCTCCATAATGTCTCTTCATCATAGAGGTAGTGCCACTCGGATGGAATGTCGTTCCAATAGTCGAACGAACCCATGCCTCAAAATCCGCATCTGTTTGTACACTCGGGCCTGGTACTGTCTCAACCGGCGATAGCGGTGCGAATATTGGTGTGTTGATTATTCTACGAGCATACTTAGTTGCAGCGCTTAATAGAAGCAGATCTGTCTGATGAGTAAGGAATCCAGGATTTGCTGATGGGGAAGTGAAAGGATCGGCGGATGTGATCGCGACCGATCCACGGGAAAATGGATGCTGAAGACCAGAAAAAACTGGTCCTCCTCCGAAAATGAATTCCATTATTGGCATTTTGTTGGATGCGAGATCTCGAGTGAGGATTTTGTATTGAGCTTCATATCCTGCCAAGATAGTCGAGTCGACATCGGATGGTAAATATGATGCTGGGGTGATAGATGAAGCGGAGGATACAATCTGTGAAGTTGTATTGGTGAAGGAACGGGTTCCAATAAATGCATATGCGCCTCCCCCTTCTATCGAGTATGGACCTATTTTGCCCGATTAGAATTATTTGGGAAGTTTAATACACTTTACGGACCAGTTCTGTTATGCCTATATAATGCTAGCATCTCGGCATTGAAAGTCGCATTACTGGTCAAATTGTTCGCGGAAAGGTAAATATCCACTATTTCTCCAGTTAGCGGATGGTTTTATAGACTTTTGCTTTAACAACCTACACGTGGTACTAGCTCTGAGCAATGGATGATCTTGGAAATTCGCCCCAACTCCTGGCAAGTGCACCACAGTTTCGATATCGAATTGTTCAAGTAAAGGAGAGCTTCCAATTCCAGAGAGTTGGAGCAGCCGAGGTGAATGGATAGCACCAGCTGCGAGAATTACCTCCTTCGCCGCAATTACGGTTGATCTTGAAAAATTGGAGCCAGCTGCATACTATTCTCGTGGTCAGAACGTTACTGGAGGAATGTGGTCGACAAACATTTACCTCTACACCAATGATTGCAACCCCATCGTTATTTACTTTAGTGATCAGTTTCGTCACCTGTTGTCCCGTTAAGAGGTGCAAATCGGTTCGATTACTTGCACTATTCCAATAAGCGGTTCTAGAATTTGAGCGGGTCTAGTGATTGTGGATTCCACAGGGCACCATTTGCATCTCCATTCAAAGAGTCAAACACCTTGCGTATTCCGAGGTATTTCATAGACGCAAAAAAGTACTCTACCAACATGTCAGTAAAAGTAGTTTGATTAGGACAATGTACTCAACTGAATGATGGCCAATTAAATCTTGGATAACTTGAATGAACCTATAGACATGGTCAGCAAGTACGTCGATTCTCAGCACAGATTTATTACATGGCCTTTATATCCGTGTGCTGAAGAATCCGTTTGAATATCCCATTCTTTTGCAATTTCAGGTGCAGGTGGTGTGAAATTAGTCAACTGATGGACAGAAATTTAGTTCATGAATTATTCAATTCGTTCCATATAATGTGCTTACTTTCTTGAAATATGGAAAGAGTTCATTCCAACCAACTGCTCCTACTTCTATCCAACGATCATAGTCTTCTTTTCCAGCAAGATCGAAAGTCATCTTATTCAAACAAGAACCACCGCCTACAATTTTACCAAGTGGTATGGCAATTGACCTGTTGTTTGTAGCTGGCTGGGGAGCATAGGTTAGATTCCAATCATACTGTGTCCCTATCGCTCCATTCCCAATTCCTGCGAACAGTGGAATGTATATGAAGTCTTCTCCCTGGTCACTATACATCGTCAGATGGTTACGTCAGACTATATTTATACACTCACAATTCACCGGCCTCAATAATGAGAACGTTTGTCGCTACTGACGGTAAGCCTTTTATCCAAAGCAACAAAATGAGTGAATCTTAACCTGGAATCTCTGACAATCTATTTCCTACGACAAGCCCACTTGTTCCACCACCAAAAACAATAAAGTCATAACTAGACAACAGTGCAGTATCACGTCCGACTATCTTCCCACCAAGAGAAGCTCCACGAGACGCAATTATGAGCGAAGATAGTATTGTGATAATTGAAAGCGATCGTATGATGAAGCAGTATAGAGGCGAAGATAGTACGGACGTCCACCACTTGTACCAAGTAATGAGTGGGTAGGTGAATGCATTACTTGAATGCTGAAGGGCTGCAAGAGATCCTCACCCGAGAGTTACATTGCCAAGTCAGGCCTACATACGTGCTGTCCCTTGCTGTGACCCGATCCGGACAGCAGTCAGCTCAACATCTAATTCTGATTGGAAGGCCAGACTTGTCGAAGAGTTGTTCGATTTCCACACATATCATTCAGCAAATAGCTGAACCAGAAGTTCCCAGAATGGACTTTGAAATATATCCCGTTACACTCACGCTTACTATTCCCGTCACATGGCTGCACTTTGATTTATTCAATAACTCATATCAGATAAACTAAGTCTTCACTACCGAAAGGGTTCTCACTAAAGACTAATAAGTGGCATCATATGATTACCATATTGATGAATGCACCTCCGCATTACGAATCCTGCAGCTTAACCAATATCTTCTTCCCTCCAATCTCATTTTTCGTCGAAAGATCAACGCCAAAACTTACCCCTCCAAATCCAGTCGCAACTACTTCTCCTTCATTTGGCTCTAATAGTCCTTTCCAAAGCAAGGTTTCAAGTCTTGGGATTAGCTTCTCTACAATGCTGTTGGTTGCGTCGCCTAATGGCTCTCCAAAATTTCCCATTTGTCCAAGGTGGACGTGATAAATTTTGATATCCTTTTGTTCTTCGATTTCGTCCCTATTTATTATTTAGTGGAAGTTATTTCCGGAGCGTGAAGAGATTGGAAGCTTTAACATACCAATCATTCGTGGTCGAGAATGTTTTTTGTGTTTTGGCTGTGGATTTGGTGTTCAAAACAGCCAAGCCTACGGTGGAACTAGCAGCCGACGCATCGAATATACCCGCGAACTCTCCCGATGTAATTTTTTCGATCTCAGACAATTGTGTTTCGGTAGATTGTTTGTAGTCAAATGTTGCATCTGCACCGACAGATGTGACAAGCTGTTGTGGGTTAGGTTAGCTACTTCACAAATCTCATTTCAACTTTATTCCCTTTTGCGAAACTCACCTCAGCATTAGATTGCGAGCATGAAGCAAGGACTTGGTATCCGCACAGTTTCGCAAGCTAGATGTTCGTCAATGCCAATATTTCCAAATATATATAGATACACTAGCCTTAATTCCGTATTGTCCGACGTTCGACGTGCCTCCTAAAACAATAAACCATTCTGGTTGATTCTCGCGAGTGGCAGGATACATGATATCATTTCCCTCATCTAGACAAATTGCTGCCGTCTATCATTATTGCAGTCAGTATTGCTCATTCACAAATACTATGGTATTTGTGACTAGCAAGAAGGAAAGATTTGCTCACCAAAAGTCCCACTCCAATTGTCGCAGCTTCTTCAACCGACACTCTTTCTGGTCTCTTAAACGCCAGTTTCTCATCCATTAAATGCTATTGGAGATAGTTAACCGTTAGCCTCTCTCTCGTTTCAGTCCACCATTCTCCATTCCTAATTCCCACCCAACCTCATTTCTCAGACTACGCGTTTCACTCATCATTCGAAGTATCCTGTCCGAATGGAAAAGGAACCTCAAACATACAAACTCCTGAAAAGTACCATAGCCCTCCTCTCCGACTCTCGTCGCACATCCAAAAATGCCATCTCCAACTCTGAATTTCTCAACGCCAGGGCCTAATTCAACAACCACTCCTGAAGCGTCACAGCCGAGTACTATTGGGTAGGATGGGATAAGGGAACCGGTCTGTCGCATTATATTGTCCCTTCAGTTTTAGGTCAGTGATATGTTCGTAAGAGGTATTGGTAAGATGGGTGATGTACGAAGAAGAGGGAGTGAGTAAGGAATCTGGGAAACGGAGAACTTACAAAGGATTAATTCCTGTAACCAACGATTTCACCAAAACCTGATGCTTTCCCGGAACAGGTCTCTCCAGATCATTAGAGACTTCCCAGGGGGAATTACGGTCCTTGATTACTACGCCTCTCATTTTTTGAAAATGGTTCAATTAATAATTTTTCACAATGGAGAATATTTAAGACACTGGAGTTGCAATAAATAAAAGTAAGAGTAATTTTGATTTTGTAGAGAGCTTCAGCAATACAATTGAATTTTATGGTTCGATGTTGCTTACCCCTCCTTTGTTACATTCCCGCTAAATTTACCCCTCATTTGAGCTCGCACAGACGAGGCTTGGGGGTTTATTGGCAGGAAGCTTTGTGGCCAATGGAATGTGAGAGTTTCAGCCTGTAGAGAATTCAATGTGTTACATTGAGAGAAGATTTATGTTGTGAGATTGGTTAGGTTTTGAGAGGGTATGAACGCGTTTATACTTTGGGCAATTGAGACGGCCAATTGGATGGTTTGGGTTCGTGCATTTGCTTGTTGGAAGTACCCAGCCTCTTACTTCGATTCATCAATGTGGTAATATGCTACTCCTTATTTCTACGAATAAACGAGTCGAAGTGAAGCAGATCGTAATGTTTGGAACAGATATTTTTACTTTTTTCTGTAAACTTCGGTTGTGAATGCCTATAAAACAGTAATTCTTTGGAGATCATCTAATCTATGAAGGTATTTGCATGAATACATTCCATAGTGGCTCAACAAAAACAAAAGTGTAGGAAATTTAACTATGGTACTTGGATAGAGACAAGCTTATTTATGAGACTATCGAAGGGGCTACCATGCTGGAATGAATAGAATGACTGGCATAGAGTGTTCATTGCTTGACTTGGTTAAGGACCTTTCGAAGCATTCGTCTAATGTATCAAAATCATTACCAAACTACATTGGAGGGGGACATTTAATGAAATTATATAATAGAAGACCTATCTGATGTTTCAATCATAACCAGCATCCTAATGGAATTAGTTTCGAAAACGAATCTGGCGCTAAGGATTTCACCATACATTTTTATCGACTTTCAAGAAAAGAAAGAAGTTCAGTGAGTGAGATGGAAATAGAATGTATATTAAACGAAATAGTTCGAGCACTAGCTAATTGATACGCGACATCTAGCTTCCAAAAAGTGAACCGAAGCATTTGTGCCAAGCTGGATAGCGACCACTAGGATGTCAATTTACCTAGGTATTCGATGATTCTTCTCGCTTGACAGAGTTCTTTAAATACACGCTAGCAGGCTGGCAGGCTGTCGAAAGTCAATCGTGTCACTTACACGGGAACCACTCCTCAGGACAAGTCCAAGATGAAGCAATTGTGAATTCAGTATGAGGGGTCTGCATTAATTTCAGGACAAAATGCTCATCAATCAAGGAATTTAATTAAATTTATATGTACCATTAACATTTTTCTACTAAGTTTGAAAATCCTCCAACTTCATTATGTATTCTAACTAACATTTCCCGTCATTTTCGTCTCTAGTTTCGTTCGTTCGTTCGTCTCGCTTGTTCATCAACAGATATCTATAAATTTTGTTCGGCTCTTCACCCTACTTCCGATTCTCGGCTCATTCATTTCATGATAACCGGCCATCTTTCTCCCCAATTGGTGCTCTAAAGTCATCATCCTTCTTCTTTCCATCACCATCTCCATACATCCAAAATTGCAACCCCAAGAATAAATCGCAGCACATCTGGAACATTCCGCAAATTTTGAAAGCCCATGGTATAGCACTTGTGGCCGTAAAAAACCAGAACATCTTCATTATATCACCGGCAATCCAGCTGGCCATGACTGAAAAACGGAAACCTTTGCAGGATCGAGATTTGTAGTTTGCAATGATTTGGGGAATTGGGAGGGTGGCTTCTACGCCGAGTCCAATATAGCCAATTGCGTCAGAGTAGACGGAATAGAACCATGGAGCTGGAGAGAGAATGAGTTCGCACGCGATGAGAGCTATGAATAGGTAAAGGAGGAATTGCCAGTAACTGTGGTTGTTTGCGTTAGCATCATGTAACCCTTTGGTAAGTAACACAGTGAATCAATGCGTACGGTTTTGGGGAACGCCATTGCCAGAAGTTGTATGGTCTTGACGCTCCATCCCCGTCTCTGTGCCCAGCAAATGGTATAGCTGCGTCTCCTCCTTTCGACGATGGCGATGGTCGATGATCAAGCGCAACCTTCAACAACATGATTTGCATCCCAATCATAATGAATGACTGTATCAGTAAGGAGGTATCGAAATGGGCTCCAGGATAATAAAAAACTCTAGAAGGAGGATTAGCATTAGTCTTCCGATGTTCATTGCAGGACAGCGTACCTCAAGAACGATGCTACAAGCATGATCAAAGGGATATCCAGAGAAAATCCCGCACTGGACTTGTTCCTATGTATCGAGTATGTCTGATCCGCATACGACGTTATGGGAGATATTATGATAAACATAGGGGCTATATAGCCAGTGATGAATGAAACGAGACCCATTTTGGCTGTGGTAGTTTTGGCAATTTGAAGCCAGGAATGGCAGACGTGATAAGCTTTATAATGCAAAGTTCATAGACACGAAAAACTGTTTGACAATGACAATTAGAAAGAATTGAATTAGATGTTGTGTCAAATCAACAGATTCAACAATAATTAATTTGGAGATAGTTAGTTAATGAATCTCATAATTGATGACATAATAACCTTATTTTACTGATCGGTACTTGACTTTATCCGAAATCCGATATTCGTCGATGCAGTTTCTAGATCGACTTCTCCGATAAGATAACGGATAAAGTTAATCATCCCTCCAATGGTTGCGATGGTGACGAAGTCAACAAGAGGGGAGATGTTTCACTACCACCACTTCTTGAAATGACGATGATACTTTGAAAGACTTGCTACACCTAATTGCATCTCATACTAATATACAATGTATAGTGTATTTAATAAACCTCAAAAGCGCAATAGCGCAACATCATCCAAAGTAACACCATCCAAAGCAACACCATCCAAAGCAACGCCATCCAGAGCGACACCATCCAAAGCACCATCATTCAAAGCAACACCAACAAAGGTTGCTCTGAATGGACTATTTTCTGATGGCAACTGGAAATGTAAGCTACCTCGAAACGACATATCTATTTATCATTCAGTTAACATAGCGACAGGTAATTGCAACCCCAGACTACCCGCCGTAAGATTCCAGGTCAAGAAAGAAGGAGCAAATAAAGGTCGATGGTTCTACACATGTCAAGAACCAAAAGATTCTAGCTGCGGTTTCTTTCTTTGGGACGATAAAGCCAAAGGAAGAGAGATGGGCGCAGTTCTGAATAATACAAGAACGGAACCTCATACACCCGAATCACACTCACCAGTAACTCCATCGAAAGATAAAAGGACGTTAGAAGGGCATGCGATTGCTAGTAATAAATGGCTTGAAGATATTGGGAAGAAGGAAGATGATGAGTTTGGGGCGTGGCCTTTAACTCGAGAGGATGAGGAGAAAGCGGTCAAGACTGTTGAGAGAACGGACCCTGGAAGCTTTCCAGAGACCCCAAGAAAGGGGAAGATGGATGGCAAGACAGCAACACCGGGGAGTAAAAGAAAGCGGGGCGAAGGAGAAAGTCATGGTGCCAGTATGTATCCTACGCCTACGACAAAAGGTACACGGGACGAAGACATTTTTGGCACTCCTTCTACGAGCCGCAAAAGAATAAATGGTGGGATGTGGGATGGGAATGAACGATCCGTTTTATTTAGTCCCGCGGAGACACCTTCTCCCATGAGATTCAAAGATGCTGCAATGGGTCCACCTCCCAAGTTCATGGCTTCTCCTTCCAAGGGCAGCACAGTGGATTCGCCGCAAAACTACGACATGACGGAAGACATTATGAATCTCCTCAAGGATCAACACATCGACGATGAAGTCTCCGCTCAACTACGTCAAATTCTAGCCAGACATGCACTTAAAATATCTGGTATCGTGAAAGGTCGGGATATCACACGCGTAGCTCTTAAAACCAAAGATACAAAAATTGCAGAGCTTCAACAAAGGATTACCCAGCTCGAATATAAGCACGATATGGATGAAGCAATTATCAAGCGTCTCAGGGCTCAGAATGCTGGCTAGAACTCTTTTGAAATGTGCACGAGGGGAGAAGTGTACTCCAGGATTTATCGAGTAATTCAATCCACTTTATCCTCCTTTCTTATCCTCGATGAAACTATCATTCGCCTCAGAAGTCAGCATTGAGCTCCCCACAAGAGTCTCACTAACAGGTGTCACATTTCATTCGGCACCTTTATATACGACTCTAGATCTCAAGATCTCAAGATCTTAGCGACTGAGCCTCCTAATTACAGTCATGGAGAAGAGGCAGGAATGGAAATTTCAAACCCTCTCATATATGCGTCTGACTGATTCAATAACCCTAATGCACATATCGCACCACCTCATATATACATCCTTTAAAGTAACTTTGAGATTAACAAATAGTCCTCTCGAATATCATCATGGGCGGAACTTAATACACTGAATATCGAGCCTAGAACACAATGAGCACGGCGGTTACTGGAACCCCAGATATCGTTGGCAAGAAAGCGCAATGCCGTAGTATAGCCATCCCCGCCGCAACAACACACCACAGTACGTACCCACGAATGATTCGAATACTAGGCATGGAGTAAGGCGCTCACTCCAGTTGAGGGTATTCTGAGAAAAGAGACGGCAAAGCGATGCATTCAAATAAGGGTGAAGGGCGTAAAATTGCGTTGCTCTTATCCAGAAAGTCCTGGATTAGGCTGTTCTCCACAAATAGTTGCAATTAGCTCCAAAATACTTCAGATTTCACATCTAATTCAAACAAATCAAGACCATGCAAAAGAAGAACCCAATTTTTTCAATGTTCGCGTGATAACCATCTATCCATTTCAATATCCACCCCTAAACTCCATCTACACTAATACCGCAAGCATGCATGCAATGATATCTTAACCCAACTTTAGCCATTTTTTTCTCCATGTATCCCATTCATATCATCTCACGTCACAACAATCCAATCATCCGACCCATCTTCTAGCACTCTTAAACATTCTGACCCAAGGACCGAATTCTCCCCACTCCTCTGCACTCTCCTTTGGCACGTAACTACCGACATCTGCCATAATAGTTCTCTCCGGATGAGGCATCATAGCCAAGACTCTTCCATCCAAACTTCTCACTGCTGCAATACCCTCAGGGCTACCATTTGGATTGTATGGGTATCTCATTGTGGGTTTGTCAAAGTTATCTGTGTATCTGATTGGGATGAGGTTATCAGAGTTCAAGGCTCCCAAGTCTGTGTCATTTTTGAACGAAGCTCGACCTTCACCGTGTGAAACAACGATAGGCAAGGAACTACCATTCATACCGTGGAGGAATACAGATGGTTTCTTGGCATTGTCTTGGATCTTCACCATGCTGACTCTGCCTTCGAATTGTTGAGATTGGTTATCGGTGAAGACAGGCCAATGAGAAGTACCAGGAATAAGTTCAGATATGCGGCTAAGCATTTGGCAACCGTTGCAGACACCCAGTGCGAATGTATCAGGACGTTTGAAGAAATTCTCAAACTCTGGTCTAGCTTTTTGTTCATGCATAAGAATGGAATTTGCCCATCCACGACCAGCACCCATGACATCACCGTAAGAGAAACCACCACAGGCAGCAATACCAACAAAATTGGCCAGAGAATAGTGTCCGGAAATGATGTCGGTCATGTGCACATCAATAGGGTCAAATCCTGCAGCCTTGAAAGCAAATGCCATTTCAGCATGTCCGTTAACTCCCTGTTCACGGAGAATAGCTACACGAGGTGCCTTAGAGAAGGTGGATGTGATTGATGCCGTCAATGGAAGAATGTTCTCCTTAGGTTCGTAGGTAAGGGTATAGTGGAGACCAGGATCACGATCATCCTTAATATTCTCAAATTCGACGTCAGCACAATCAACGTTGTCTCTGAGACGTTGCATCTGGTAAGATGTCTTGGTCCATTGTTGTTGAAGCTCAGACCTTGACATGTGTAAGATTGGCTTCTGTCCATAGCGAATGGCGAGTTGTTGTTTTGATGCAGTTGGTACTCGTCCAATCTTTCTGATGAGTCCTGGTGGAGGACCACAGGTAGCAAAACATCGCATAAAGTTGACCTCGTCCGATTTTCGAACTTGGAAAATAGCACCAAGTTCTTCGTTGAACAAAGCTTCGATGATGTGAGATGGGGATGCGCTCTTAGAAACTCCATCAAGCATGATCTCAGCGCCACATCGACCAGCAAACATCATTTCGGCAATGGTAGTCAACAAACCACCATCTGAGATATCATGGTAAGCTAATACTACTCCTGACTCATGTAATTGTTGTAAAGCATCAAAGTAGTCAATAATGAGATCAGTATCTCTGACATCCGGTGCTTCATCTCCAACTTGACCGAAAGATTGCGCAAGGGCTGAGCCACCCATAGCCTTGTGACCTTGAGCAAGATCAACATACATCAATGTAGTCTCTCCGACATCTTCAAGTCTTCGGAGTGCAGGTGTCCATGTGTTACGAACATTTGCGACTGGCGCAAAGGCTGAAATAACCACAGTCATAGGAGCTGTGACTGTTTTAGAATCTCCGCTCTTTTGATCCTTCCACGAGGCTTTCATTGATGTTGAGTCTTTGCCGACAGGGATGCTGACTCCCAACTTAGGGCAGAGATCCATTCCAATGGCTTGAACTGCCTCGTACAAAGCTGCACCTTCACCAGGTTGGTTGACTGCGGCCATCCAGTTTGCAGATAAACGAATGCGAGGCAAGTTGCCGAGAAGATGTGCTGCACCAATGTTCATCAAACTTTCGGCAACAGCCATTCTAGCCGAAGCTGCACCCGAGATCAAAGCCAACGTAGGCTTTTCACCCATAGCCATAGCCTCACCAGTCTTCAGTTTACCACCAATGTTAAGAGCACTAGCTGTGACAGCTACGTCTGCGACAGGGGTTTGCCATGGTCCGACCATTTGGTCGCGAACGGTCAAACCTCCAACGGAACGATCACCGATAGTAATGAGGAAGGATTTGGAGCCAACAGATGGAAGGGAAAAGACACGCTCGATGGCCATTCTTAAGAGATCGTGATCGGGGATTTGGGGGTATGCTTCTTTGAGGGATTTCTCTGCGTTGAATGGGAGAAGCTGTGGTTTCCTAGACTGAACGATTCTTTCTAATTTTCTGTCTTTGGGGAACAGAGTAGACATGGGGAGATCGATGGGTGTAGGGTGCTCTGTAGAATCTCGATCAGTTACCACAAGCTTGGCAACTCCATCTTGATCCTTGGGAACAACAGTTCCGACATTGGAGAAGCCACATCGTTCACGTTCTGTAAATGATTAGTACAAGATTTACTACGTTTAAAGACGAAACTTACTAGCGATGCTCGTAAATCTACCAAGGTCTTCCTTGTTCACAATCAAGACGTAAC